ACCTGCTTTCTTTTGTCAAGATCAAAAGAGGACTGGGTTTTTGTGGCTGCCCCTGGCCTATGCTGTCAAGATGGCAGGCCTGGTGAGGGATCCACGCAGGATGGGAGAGACAGGGAACAGTGCAGAGGGGAGTCCCCAGAGGAATTAACAGATGGTAAACTGACAGCACAGCAAGTTTAATTTAGGCCTTAAACTGTCATGAGAGCAAGGCAGGAGGGCACTGCTGTTAATTGTTTGCCAGACTAACACGGCAATGAAGAACAGACTGCATCTTGTCTAATTTTTCAACACCTTTCCCAAAACCCAGTTCACCTCACCACAATGCCCTTTTACCTGGTGAATTAAAAAAACATGCTTTTAACAGGCCTAATCCCGTAAGCTGCTCACCAGAATACCAATTATCTACAGACTAAATATGCCATAGAAGCTTATTTATCACAGGGTTGTAGGAATTGCCTGAGCCTAATGGTGTGCACTGCCTCCCAGTGTTGTTCTCTGCTGCCGAGTGTCAGCCATTTTAGAGAGCTTCCCCTTTCTGTCCCTCTGCTCCAAGCACACTGAGTATTTGGATGTAAGAGAGAAGGAAAGGAGAAGGAAAGGACTTCCTCTGAAAAGGCTCTGCATACAACCTCATCTCATCCAGAGAGGCTTTAAAACCTTTTTGAAGTCGACCAGGTTAGATTGAATTCTGTTTATATAAAATTATGTTGCTGATTGCATGAATCAGGTTACTAATTCATTTTAGTGAATGACTGTATCTGTTTCTGCCAGTTTATCAATATTGTTACATTTTTAGTCTTGAACATTTGACATATTCCAGGTGGAATGTAGAGATATCTGTTTTGTCATTATTAGTGGATGACGTCTGACAAAAGGCTCTGTTTTAAATATAACCAGGGGAACTGTGGCCTGGATATAATGGCGCACATAATGTTGCTTGACCAGGGTTCAGGAGCGGTCTGCATTGACTGAAACAGCAAATCCCCCCTCAGTGTTTTGTGAATGGTGCTTGGTAATTCGTCTAATCCCTTCATTCCACTATGGTGTGAGGATTGGTGTAGGCACATTTAAATCTGCATTACACCGACACACAGCCTTTTTACTTTGGTGTCTGTGTTTAAAATATCCACCTGTTGACCTTCTCAGAACTGTGTAGATGATGTAGTTGGCTTTGACATTTTGACCTGGATGCATTTCTGTTTTGAAGGATGGTTTACGGTCGTGTTGCACTACCAATGTGTGTTAGCTGTGTGCATTGTTTGTACAGGGTTTGAAGTTTCTCAGTTGATTAAATGAAATGCATATATTTGGACTTCCACAGAAAGATGGGGAAATGTATCTCTTTGCTCTCAGTTGTTGTTCTGTTCTACCCCCCCCCCCCCCCACCAGCCTACTGTTGCTCACACTCAAATCTCCAGGCAGATATTGATTATGAGAAAGTGTATTCTGAAGAAGCTCTGGACAGAGGGAGGGAGGGAGGGGGTTATGCCGTCTGCTTTCTGGGAGGCCTGTGACATTTTCAGTCCTGTCTTTGTGTCCAGTGTTAGGGCCCATGCTGCATATCAGCATGCTGGGGCACATAATAAGCTGCATGTGGTCTTTTACAGCAGATTTGACTGGTGCCGTGTGTACGTGCTGTGTGTGCGGTGCGCACAGTGGTCAGGGGGAGAGAGAGAGAGAGGGAGGGAGAGAGAGAGAGTGTGTTCAAAATGGATGCCATACACATACACTAGCTGAGAGCACGACGAGGGAGAGAATCTGATCCTATCCCTGTCAAGCCCGTAGAGCTGCATCTTACATGTCTGATAAAAGGCATGCAGCCAGTATGTGTCTGTACTAGGTTTAAAGGGAGCGAGGGACTTGGTTTTCGGGAGGTTTTTAAGCAACAGCAAGGAGCAGTCCTCTCTGCATTGCAGCACTGTGGCTGAGGAGAGCGGGGAGAAGAGAGCCCGTTTGGCACACAGAGCTGAGCATCCAATCAGGCACCTCCGTGTGGTGCTCAAGCCAATCGGCAGCCTGCAGCCGAGGTTAAAGATTGACAATTGCAGGAGAGAGCAGCAGGGAGAGAAGGCCTTCTGGGAAACCTGGACCCATCTTTTCCCTCATCCCCAACGTCCTCAATAATTGAAAAAGATTAAACAATAGGCTGAAGAATCTGTATATGAGAGAGGAAAAAGGTATGCTGTTGATTTCCTACATTGAAGCATGGATGTTGTGGCAATGGTGGGTGTGGAAAGGGTTGTTTCAGTGGGTTACAATAGTCTGTATCGTGTGCTTTGTGGGCTTTGATTTAAAAATGTTTTTTTTTTTTTAACAGGATGGGCAGCATTGATTTTCTTCCTTGTGCCTGTCCCTGTCTTTCTCTTTGTCTCTTGTTGCTGTATTTCCTGCCCTGGACAGGACAGGATGTTGCTGGGGTAGATTGTCTGAGGCTGTCCAGACAGGTTAGATGAGGAGGCCAGTAAAGCCATTTCACTGCACTCCTGTCTGTCTCTGCAGATGTGCTGTGTTCCTGGCTGTCATTTCATCCTTCTTTAGTGATGATGGAGGAGGAGGAGGAGGAGGAGGAGGAGGAGGGGAGGGGAGTGGGGGGAGGGGGGTAGTGAAGAAGATTGTTGAAATGGAGGCAGTATTTTTGTTTTTATTGAATTCATGTCTATTTTTCACACAACACATTCAAATTGTGCAGTGCAAGTGAAATAAAAATAGGCAAGATTAAAGCCATCTGAACAGTGAGGCCGGTGCATCTGCTGTGGCGTCAGAGAAAATGGCAACAATAATAGGATCGACAACAGGACACCTGCAAACCAAGGTGAACTGATACTGTGGAAAAACCTGTTGGGCAGATTTTGAATAGAAGGTGGTTCACAGCAAATTGTGGCTTCCTTTTCAAGGACATGTTTCTCAACAGACCTCGGGCTGTAATTATGCAATCCATAATGATGTGCTGCTTGTTATTAGGATACTTGATCAATGAATATTACATGGTTGTTTAAAAGCAGCATAGAAGTCTATTTAGATGGTTTTCACTTGTTGGATGTCAGGAGGTTTAGACGCTGCGGATTCTTCTGCTCTGTGTTTTCATGTTTACTATTTATAGACCTGTGGTCAGTGGAGAAAGGTGTTTGCTATTTATAATTGGAGAGCGGCCCTACACATTGAGCTGCCTTTGCACTGATAATGGCTAACTTTTGCTTAAATTCAGTTAGAGATATTTTTAACATCTAGAAAATGTCTGTCTGAGTCACCAAATTGTGGTCCAATTCTACTTTAGAGCTGAACATTGCTACGTTGTCAGTATTTTCAGTAATGATGGGTCTTGAAAGTTGCAGTTAACTTTTGTTTTGAAGTCTATACAGTAGTCATTGACCAATTAATCAGTAAGGCAATTCATGGGGCCAATATCTGTCATTTTGAGATAATTTTCCATTTTGAGAGACCCAGAGAGGCGGGGCAAGCTGGTGTGTTTACCTGAGGTGTAAGGCCTCTTGTGTGTCTGTGTGTGGAGAAAAGAATTCCGAGGAAGGTGCGAAGAATATTTAAAATTTATAATGATGATCTTCGTGGTGATTAAATCCTGCTTTCACATGGCAGTATTATGTGAAAAAGTTAGATTTTCTTTTGCCGGGGGGGTTACAATCACGATGCCTGCTCATGTTGTGATGTCTGTCAGCCATTGCTGATGTATGATGGCATCATCTATCGGCCCAATAACCTGTATCGGTCAACCGCTACGTCACACCTATATTACAGATGATGTCGGGCATTGGGTCATTTTGTAGACTATTTCCAGTGGCCCATTTGAGTGTGATGCAGTGTAGTTAGTTACAATAATTTATTTTGTAATACATCTTCATGTGTTTTATTAAAATCATGTAACCTTCAACAGAGTAGAAAACTGCAAACAGTGATTGGGGAATCTGAGTGTACAAGTCATTATTCAACATTTGAAACGCTTTTTAGTGTAGCACTTAGCACTTAGGTAGAAGTAGTGTTTTAAAGATGGGGTTTAATATTAATCTTTACAGAAAAATTTATGATACATCTGTTCCTAACTGACGACCCCAAATCTAACCAGAATTATATTAATGTCAGGAGAGACAGAGCCTGTTGGCAAAATTGACCTTACTTGTTTAGAATAACTCCATTGTAGTAAGATGAGGGTAGGGGAGCCTGGTATTTAATAACAGACTTCTGCAGGAATTCTGCAGAACTTTGAAGTATGAACTAAATTTGACCATTTACATTGTCACTAATGAATCATACATTTGCTTCTGAACCAATCGGTTGTGTTTGGTGATATAAAATGCTCAGATTTGATCTCAGATGAAGAAACTTGGTACTATTTGTGACTTTTATACTGGGTGAATGGGCAGCACAAACCTTGTAAAGTACTTTGGTTAAAAGCGCTATATAAATGGAGCCATCTAGCATTTTTAGCATTTAGAGAGCTGACAGGAAATGAGGGTCTGACATCTTAAAACCCTTGGCCACCAGGATTCCCTAACTGTAGTGTACCTCTGGAAAAACAACAACAATTTCAAATGTTATAACGTAATGATAATAGCAAAGTAATATGTAATAATATGTGAAATCTTCAGCTGTAGGTTATGTTTGACTGGCAAACTTTTCACAGTACTCTTTTCTGCATCAGTGTGGCAGAGGAAGAGGGTAAAACTGAGATTATAGCAGAAGGAATGGAGATCTCAACACGGTCCAAAGGTAAGAACATACTATACAAGTTTGTCTTTGGATAGGTTGACAAAGCGCTATTTCTATACCTATTTCTGTACATGTATGCAGTGATGTGTACAGTGGTTTTATTTGGTTTTACAGTAGATATATTAACTTTATATATCTTCACTGTGTGAGTACAGGAAAACTGGTATCTGTACTGTCATTTGAGGTATTTTTTTCCTGCTTTAAGGAGGCCGTGTGCCCTTCCTGGTGTCTATAATCTGTGACCTTTGTCTAAAGTTTCAGACACAGGGTCAACAGAGCGGATGACCCAAAAACGAAAGATGCCGAGTCCCTCTCACTCATCCAATGGTCACTCCTCTGCCGAAACCTCCCCCTGCCCAATGAAAAAGAAGAAGAAACCAGGTGCTGTTAGTGGCAGCAAAGACCAGGTAACAATCACCAAATAATAAGATTAAACCTGCATTTGCTCTTAAGATGATTTGATTGATTGTCTTGACTTTCAGATTTCGACAACAACTTTAAAAAAAATGTTTTAATCATCTAGAGGTCAAACGTGAAAAATGAAAACACAATTGTCTTAAAGGGTCAAAACATACACTGCTCAAAAAATTAAGGGAACACTTAATCATCTACAGTATAACGTCAAGTCAATTTAACCAGAAATCTGTCAAAGTGATAGCAGGTGTACTGGAGAGGAAACAGCAAGACAAGCCCCAAAAGGTGAATGGTTTTGTAGATGGCGGCCACAGACAGTAGCTCTGTCCTTATCCTTCCTGACTGACTATTTTCTAGTTTTGCATTTTGCTAGTGTCCTTGTCACTACTGGTAGCATGAGGAGGTACCCGCAGCCTATTCAGGTTGCACAGGTAGTCCAGATCCTCCAGGATGGCACATCCATATGAGCCGTTGCAAGAAGGTTTGCTGTGTCTCCCAGCACAGTCTCAAGAGCACGGAGGAGATACCAGGAGACGGGCTGTTACACCAGGAGAGCTGGACAGAGCTGTAGAAGGGCGTCATCCCAGCAGCAGGACCGGTATCTGCTCCTTTGTGCAAGGAGTAACAGGAGGAGCACTGCCAGAACCCCACAGAATGACCTCCAGCGGGCTACTGGTGTGCATGTTTCTGACCAAACTGTTAGAAACAGACTCCATGAGGGTGGCATGAGGGCCCGACGTCCTTTAGTTGGATCTGTGCTCACAGTCCAGCACCGCGCAGCTCAATAGGATTCGCCAGAGAACACCAGAATAGGCAGGTCCACCATTGGCACCCCGTTCTCTTCACAGATGAGAGCAGGTTCACACTGGGAACATGTGATAGACATGAAAGAGTCTGGAGACGCTGTGGTGAACATGGCTGCCTTCACCATCATCCAGCAGACCAGGAGGCATATCCTTGGATATGGATAACCTCCACATGCTAGTCAATGGTAAACTGACTGCTGTTAGGTACCTGGATGAAATCCTCTGAGCCACAGTTAGCCCTGACGCTGGTGCAGTGGATCCTGGGTTCCTCCTGGTGCAGGACAGTGCTCAGCCTCATCTGGCCAGAGTGTGTAGGCAGTTCCTGATGACGAAGGCATTGATGCAATTGACTGGCCCTCATGTTCCCTAGACCTGAATCCAATTTAGAACCTCTGGGACGTTATGAATCGGTGCATCCGACGCTGCCAAGTAGTGCCACAGACTGTCCAGGAGCTCACTAATGCCCTGATCCTGGTCTAGGAGGAGATCCCCAGGACACCATCCGCCATGTCATCAGGAGCATGTGTGGGCCAAACACACTACTGAGTCAGATTTCTGAATCCAGCCTTTAGTCGGTAGGTGATTTTGGTTTCCATTGACCAAATTTTGTCAATTTTGTTTTGTTTAATTTTTATTCTCAAAGAATTGTACAATGTACAGTAAAAAGTTTGATCTTTGAACTACTTTGTTACTAAGGTTTACCTTAATTTTTTTGAGCAGTGTATTTTGCCTCTTACCTACTAGTTCCTGAAGGTCTGAGATATTTGCCACTGAGACTACTGCTGCCACCCTAAAATGTGGAACTTTGCTCAATGCATCTAAAAAGATTAAATTAGATGTTCATAATGATTATTCAACACTGATGGGCACTCGAACGTGTACTTTTTTTGTGACAACAACATTTATATTCATTACTATGAAATATTTAATGATTATTTGTTGTTATCCATGGGTTAATTTAACTGCAGATGAATTGCTCCAAATGGACATTTGGTTTCACATTTACAAATATTTATATATTTATTTTTGTTGAGTGAGATTAATTATTAATATTCAAACCTTTTGCATATCAGACAAAACATCAGTAACACAAATACCTAGTGAAAAGCTCAAGAAAACACTTTCAGCTCTGTATTTTAACTTTTTTTTTACTCACTAAACTTTTTTGCTGTAGTGTGTACTGGATATTAGTGAGACAGATGTATTTCTTTCCTTTTTGCAGACATTTAAGCTCGATCTGTTCTATTCTTTTAGTTCACACATCTGCAAGATTATGGCTGTTTTGTACGGATGTTTTCATGTACCTGAAACTATTCGCACTTTGATACATGTGGTTTAATTCTAGCTAGTCTCTTGTAATCATTCCCGATTTCATCGGGGACTGAAAATTTTTATAGTATTTCAGTATATCATGAGTTACCCAGTGATTTCCACCTCTCGTCTGTTCTATTGAGATCTAATTATTTAAGTATTTCAGGAACAGTGTGTCATGCACTATAGCTTATAGCATGTCACTGTATTATACAGTGTTATTTTTAGGAATGTTTGCCATATGGATATACACTTTTATATAATTGTTGTAAATATTTGGATACACCGGATAATAGCAATTTAATTAATATTCTGATCTGAAATGGCCCTTCCATTGCTTTATACTCTACTGGAGTACTGAGCTCTGAGTTGTGATAAAATGCTATCTGTGCACTTAAAATTAACAAATGCTTTTTTGAATACCACTGTTGTAGTAAAATTCTATGTAATCTGAGAAAATCATATGATCATTTGTGGCTTATGATATAGCTTTTGTTTTTGCATGCTTTGCTGCCTTTGTGCTTAAAGCACTCCATAGATGCACAGTAGGTAAATGACAGCTAGTACCTCACACTTGGCACATTAAGTTGACTTTTGTAAATGATTAGTAGCTCCGCTGTAACTGTCAGAGGTTTTGCTGGTTTAATCAAGGCTGTCCACACTGTTTAGCCTTTCGCACATATGTGATAGTTGTGTTCTAAAACACAGACTCAAATCAAAGAACTGAGCAAGTCCAAAATTATCCAAACCTATTTTATTTTGGGGTTATTTCTATCACAATGAAAACATGTGCAGTTTGTGTGTAACACTTTTGCCTTTTTTCTGCTTTGCTTCTTTAATCTCTGGCCTGATTTTGACCTTTCTCAACTTTGTGTTTCTTTTGCCTGCATTCCAGTCAGAACTAAGACATGGTCCCTTTTACTATGTGAAGCAGCCAGCACTCACCACAGACCCTGTTGATGTTGTACCGCAGGACGGCAGGAATGACTTCTACTGCTGGCTGTGCCACCGCGAGGGCCAGGTGCTCTGCTGTGAGCTCTGCCCCAGGGTGTACCACGCCAAGTGCCTCAAACTACCAGCCGAGCCCGAGGGCGACTGGTTCTGTCCGGAGTGTGAGGTACTCACCCAGGAATGCGTATAGTGTATGGGTGTTGTAAACCATATTTCAAAGCCTGTAATCAAAATCTGTCGTAATATTTGTTTAATTATGGAGGACCTGTGAGTACGTTTGGACGTAAGTGATAAAAACATGTTGAGCCTACACTAGTTCTGTGCAATAATGGGATAAGAACAAAGTCTGTTCTGGTCTTAAATGATTTTCCTCTTGATGTCTTCCAGAAAATAACAGTTGCTGAGTGTATAGAGACTCAGAGCAAAGCCATGATGATGCTAACTATAGACCAGCTGTCTTACCTACTGAAGTTTGCTCTTCAGAAGATGAAACAGCCAGGTGTAAGTATTCTGGTCCCTCTGTCTTTCTAGGGAATTCATGCTATCTTTACTGATATTGTGTTGAGGCAGACACTCTAATTACAGATGGGGTACTCTGTGTGTTTTAATTTCACTTGGATATTGGCATGTGCTCTTTTCTGCCCAGTCTTAATTCTCAAATTGCTTATGCAAACAAAAGACACGCTTTTTTCTGGTCATCGTATTCCCATCAGTCGTGCCAGATGTTAAGATCTGCACCCTGAAGTACTACCTGTTCACATATCAGTGCAGCATGATATATTATTGATTTGCATGTGCAAATGATTTCTAATGACAGAACTAACAATCATAGTCATTGTACTATAATGGGCCTGTCATGGCTGGAAACCATGAAGGTAAACCTGCTAGCTGGTGGTGAGGATACAGCTGCCCCTCTCACTCTCTTTCAGGATCATCCCCGCTTGTCATCTCGCACCCCCCATGCAGCTTCCACGCAGAGAAAGACTTTTAATTGGGTAATCAATTACACCACTAACAAGACCCCATCATGATTTCTTCCTCCACTGGTTTTCCTCCTTTTGTTTGAAGCGGCTTTTAGAGTTTTCAGTACTAGCATGGTGGTAGCATGTTCATGTGCGGTAGAAGGTTGTGCAGTCATGCCTGAGAGTTTGTTTCTTTTCTGTCTACTCAATTTTATAGACGGAACCCTTCCAGAAACCTGTTTCTCTTGAACAGCATCCAGATTATGCAGAGTACATTTTTCACCCTATGGATCTTTGCACACTTGAGAAGGTAAACCACAAGCTGTCACATAATTCCTTTTCGATAATATGAATGTAGAAAAAAGTTTTCAGTCGGGCACCATCTTTTCTCTTTGCACTGCAGAATATTAAAAAGAAAATGTATGGCTGCACAGAGGCCTTCTTGGCAGATGCAAAATGGATTTTGCACAACTGTATTATATACAATGGAGGTATGTTTTATTGTGTTGAATCATATTTAAGAATAATTCAGCAGGACTGGGTGACACAGATTGAGTCATTGTCATGAAACAGTCTGACATTCAATGCAATCAACTGTTCAATCCACTGTTGAGTGTCAGATGTCAGTAACTTATTGGTTATTTTTAATGACAGTTAAATGACAGGTAATAAATTTACAGAAGTTTGTAAGACAATAACATGCTGCCATCATTACAATACACCTCCACTGAATGATGATAAACAATAAAATTGATTCGTCACCAGTTACCAACAATTATCATCATCATGTCTAGTGTGTATTTAAATTGTTTAACATAAATGTATGTCCTTGTTTCAGGCAATCACAAACTCACGGCGACTGCTAAAGTGATTGTAAAAATCTGTGAACATGAGGTGGGTATGTGTTTTGTGTCAGAAAAGATTTTCATATTCAAACTGAATTTTGATCCATTGGTTGATCTAAAACACAGCTGATACTTCACTGTGTTTTGTTTTTTTGTTTTGATTTTTTTTATTGCAGATGAACGAGATTGAAGTTTGTCCTGAGTGCTATCTGTCTGCTTGCCAAAAGAGAGACAACTGGTTTTGTGAGCCTTGTGTAAGCTAGCTGAGTAACTTGAAGTTTCTGTTGATGATTCCACCAAATTGTTTACCCATTCAAACAGAGATCGCTGGAATACAACCACTTAGTTCCAGTGTTTTACTTTATTTCTGCAGAGTAACCCACACCCTCTAGTGTGGGCCAAACTGAAAGGATTTCCATTCTGGCCTGCTAAAGCTCTGCGGGACAAAGATGGACAGGTGGATGCTCGCTTTTTTGGTCAGCATGACAGGTATCAGCCCTTTGTGCTTTACTTACTTGGACTATGAGGTACATTTCAAGATTTGTTTATGATGTGAATCTTTATCCTTCAGGGCTTGGGTTCCTTTAAACAATTGCTACCTCATGTCCAAAGAGATTCCATTCTCCGTGAAGAAGACCAAAAGCATCTTCAACAGTGCCATGCAAGAGATGGAGGTCTACGTGGAAAACATGAGGAAGAAGTTTGGAGTCTTTAACTATGCCCCCTTCAGGACACCCTACACTCCTGACAACAACTTCCAGATGCTGCTGGATCCCTCCAACCCCTCGTCCACCCCGATCAAACCTGAGAAACAGGAGAAGATCAAGCTGAGCTTTGATATGACGGCATCACCGAAGATCCCTTTGGCCAGGACCATGCTGATTGGGGCTGGGGTGGGAGGAGGCACAGCAGGCCGGCGACTCCCCCTAAGTGAAATGCCTCGCTCCCCCATGAGCACCAACTCCTCTGCCCATACAGGTTCGGACGGGGAACAAGAGACAGCGGACAAGTCCCAGGCAAAAGCACCAAACAGCCAGTACAGTACGGGAGAAGAGTCCATGGACTGCACAGGTATTTCATCAGGTGCATTTTAGTGTAAGAACAAGTATTTTGTGTCTAATGGGAGGAAACTTCATTTAACAGTAAAAATGTCTGAACAGCATCACCTGCCCATCCTCGACCTGGTCCTGCAGGGAGTTCCTTGGACAGCCCTAAACCATTCCACTCTCAAGCTCCTGGCAACCCCAAGCAGGAAAAGCCACAACCTACAGGAAGCATTCTGAACCTCAATCTAGGTGAATATTTTATGCCAATTGTGTAATATGCATCAAAGTGATCAATATTGTCAAATCTCCATGAGCAAATACAGATCACCATTGGATATGATTCTGCTAGATATAACATCTTTCTCTTGTGCAAATATTGCTGTTTGGAATTATTTTACGCTCTATTCTTACAGATCGGAGTAAAGCAGAAATGGACCTGAAGGAGCTTAGCGAAACAGTTCAGCAGAAACAAGGAGCCACACCAGTCCTCACCTCTCCAAAAAGACAGATCAAGAGCCGTTTCCAGCTGAACTTGGACAAAACCATTGAGAGTTGTAAGGCACAGCTTGGTAAGTAGATGTCCCATAGGAAAAAAAAACAAAACAATTTCTGAAGTATTTCTGTTGTTGATAGCTGGCAGAATAGTTGGCAGAATCATTGCCCGAATGGAAAACTTTTTGGGGATGTGACTTTGAAGAAGATGTAGTGTTGTGGTGAGGTGCTGAAGAGCAATGATCTAGTCACCAGCTAACCTGGGCTTGCTCCTCTGTAGTTGTACCCTGTAACATATTGAATAGCAGTGTGACATCCCTCCTGCTGCTTTGTTTTACAGGCATAGATGAGATCTCTGTTGATGTGTATAAAGGTGTAGAACACAGTGACTCAGAAGACTCTGATAAATCTGACTCCAGTGACAGCGAGTATGCAAGTGATGAGGAGCAAAAGACCAAGGATGGTCAGGACGCAGCACCCAATGATGAGGCCCAGAAGGAGCTTACCAAAAGTAAAGTCAAAGACCAACCTTCCCCGAGCCAAGATAAAGAGGGTAAAGCGGATACGCACTTGGTTTCCGAGTCTGCAGCAGGCGACACCACTGCAACAGTGTCAGATGCTCCAACTAAAGAGAAAATAAACAAAGATTTAGAAAAAGAGAGCTCAGAGACAACCAAAGCACCTTCAGCATCACCTGGTCCCAGAGAGAAGGCTCAGGTGAAAGAAGAAGCAAAGCAGCCTGTGCCAGTGGAGGACTCTGACTCAGAGAGAGAGCTGGTTATTGACCTCGGAGAGGAACAGGGAGGCAAGGACAGGAGGAGGAGCAGGAAAGACAACACCACTGTTAAAGAGTCATCTGCTGGTAAACCTGAAGGTGAGACTTTTTTCTGCTTATCTCTCAAGAAATAATTAAACACACACTGAATGTAATGTCCATTTTTAGTGTTTGTGACATCAAACATCAGCAATTTTGTCTAGGTGAAACTGGTAAATAATGTAGGTGCTTTCCCTTGTAGGCAAAGCCCTGACCCTCTCGACGCTCCAATCTCAAAACAGTACAGCTCCTTCCACACCCTCCAGTGTTTCCACGCAGTCCCCCATGGCCATTCCTGTCACCATGGTGTCCTTCACTACTCCCTCTCCCGCAACCATAAGCCTTACAACCGTGCCCAGTGCCACTGCAACACCCCCCTCTTCCTCCTCCTCAGCTTCCACCACACCAGCTTTGAAGAAACAGCGCCCTCTGCTGCCCAGAGAGACAGTGCCAGTGGTGCAGAGAGCAGTGGTGTGGAATCCCACTGCCAAATTTCAGACCTCGTCTCAGAAGTGGCACATGCAGAAGGTGCAGCGTCAGCAACAGAACCAGCAGCCTGTGGCAACCACGCAGACGCAGGCGTCGTCTCCCAGGCAAGGCCAGGCTCAAGCGCTGACCCAGACACAGGCCACTGGGAATGGCTCAACGGTGGTATCCTCATCTTCAGCACAGCAGTCTTCACAAAGCACACGCTATCAGACCAGACAGGCTGTTAAAGGTAGATAACAATACAGTATTCATATTCATGACATGACATATGGCTTGTCACAGTGTGTGGGCCAGTACACAGTGTATGACAATTCCTTCATGTAATTGTGATTAGAAAATGTAGTATCAAATGTTTACTATCTATGGTATCTATTTGTTAGGGGGGTGGGGGTGAACTGGAGAAAAATATGGAGGGGAACTAAGTTGAATTAACATGATTTATGTAGGGATGTAAAAAAAAACAAGAGCTTGCTGATGCTATTGTGCTGACCTGTAATTTATTTTATTTCAGTCTAATTTTCAGTCCTTTTTTATTAGTTGCTCCTCTAATATTGTTTAGGATTTATAAGAATGAAATTATTAAGCGTGGTGGAGTGACAAAAGATCTTGAAAACCACTGCGCTACACCAACAAATGTGCTTGCTAAATATTTATTTATTCTATACATATCAGTTTGTCCATTATAATGTTTCTGATTAATAGTGTTTGTTTTTTGTTTTTTTATTCTAGCTGTCCAACAAAAAGACACTCCACTCAGCACATCCACGTCAGCTGTGACCCTGGTATCTAGTAGTCCAGCTTCTGTTGCCATGATGGCAGCATCAAGTTTAGGCACTACATCTTCTCCAGTGGCAGCGGACCTGTATATTCCCACTGCCTCAGCGGATGTGGCTGCAGACATTGCCAAGTACACAAATAAAGTTAGTATGTTTTTTACTTACATTTGCATTTTAAGGGAGTTGAACCCAAGGTCTCTCACACCAAAGGCATGTGTCTTATCCACTGCGTCATCACCACCCAAGACACAGGACGAGATTGGTGTTGATCTGATCCATCCATAAAACATTTTCTTCTTGACCGAGACATCACAATATCATGGTCCACTGTTTTTCAGATAATGGATGCAATCAAAGGTACAATGACTGAAATCTACAATGATCTTTCTAAGAGTACTTCAGGGAATACAATAGCAGAGGTAGGTGTTTTCTCTTGGACCTTTTTAGAGACTAGATACTATTCAGATCATAATAGAGGCTTTGCATGTGACGCAGTACTTACCCTAATATACCCATGGTTTTTTAATTCAGATAAGACGACTGAGAATTGAAATAGAAAAATTACAGTGGCTGCATCAACAAGAGTTGTCAGAGATGAAGCATAATCTTGGTGAGAACTTCAAAATCAGATCAACAAAATACTGTGCATGCAGTCTTCTTTTTCCAAAACTGTGTAATAAGTTTTACTTGTGTTTCACCATGTTTGCGCACTTCAATGTAGAGCTGACAATGGCAGAGATGAGGCAAAGTCTGGAACAGGAGAGAGAAAGGTTGGTGACTGAGGTGAAGAAACAGATGGAGCTGGAGAAGCAGCAAGCAGTTGATGAAACAAAGAAGAAACAGTGGTGTGCTAACTGCCGGAAAGAGGCCATCTTCTACTGCTGCTGGAACACCAGTTACTGTGATTATCCCTGTCAGCAAGCCCACTGGCCAGAACACATGAAGTCCTGCACTCAGTCAGGTATCAGCACGTCAGCATTCTTTTCACACAAACAAGGATTTTTGTGTTGCTTTCTTATGGCAGCTCTTAACCTTGTTTGGAAGTCTCCAGTCCTTTGGTTGCTTTCATAATCACCAGCCACGTTTCTACTGACATGTTTGTGGATGTAATGTATTTTCCCCCACTTTTGTTCTGTTTGTAGCCACAGCTCCACAGCAAGAACCTGAGGCTGAGTCGACAGCGGACCTCCCAAACAAAGCTTTAGGGCAGACTAGCAGTGGCCCAAATTCTCTCAGAGACACGCCGGCCTCTGCACCATCAGATAAAGACTGTGACATGGAGAAGAGCACTGAGGTTGCTGTCACTTTGTCCTAACTGAACTTGCCATACTTGAAAATGTAAATGTATAGATTGTTGTTGGTTTTTTTTCACAACAAGAATATGTCTATGTAAATTGTGCTGTACAAGCAGCTGCTATTGGGAGCTATCTAAATTCATTTTATTTATATATTTTTGTTTGCCTTTCAGGGCTCACATACTGCCCACAGTGCACAGGGGTCTTAGAAATATTTTAAATGTGGAAACAAGACTGACAGCTGATAGTTAGTAACCACTACAGGGGGACGTTTAAGAAATGTATCCTACATATTCATGCACTCCTTTGCAGTCTATAGAGAACTGTCAGTATGAAGATCTTAAGAGCATGCATGAGTGTCACAAAACATACGCATAGTTTAAAGGACAACAGTTAAACAGTTTAAGACTGCAAAAATATAACCCATGTTAATGGACCACCCCAGCTTTAGATTAGAGGACTGTAGACAGAAATGTCTGTAAATTATTATTTTTTATTTTATGTTAATTTATTTGTTATTCTAATGTTGCCTGCTGTATACTGCAAAGAAAATAACAAATACAAACATTTTAAACAAGCTGTTTCTATGGTTACACTGTGGTCTAATTAGTTATGAAGCAGTCTGCAATCAATTAGAATAGTTTCAACCATAGGTTGAGTAGGTAAATAGGTTTCGTTTTAAAGAATTTCTGAAACTCAAATTCAGATACCGGTAATTCAAGAGTTTATTATTTTTAATAATCAGTTTATTGGCTGTTAAATGTGACCAAAATTCTGGCAAATTCCCATTTACCTCAAGGTTGTCTCAATAAAATTAAAAATCAAACTTTTCAGTATGTAAATCTTCATATTTGGCATTTAAAAATGCTACAAGGCTTTTTATTTAAACATTTTTACAAGCCAAACAAACAAACCCAGCATGATATCCTCCTGGCCAGTGGGGACGCTGTAGACACATTGAACGTGTTGTGTAAACCGTCAGCCATCTGCCGCAGTCAGTTAGCTCCATGTTAGCTCCAGCGGGAATGGAAAATGGAGGACTGACCGGAGAGCGAGGGCATATCATCGGTATTTCTAGCGTTTAGGTGGGTAGAATGCAACAATTAAATTTTATGCTACGGTTAGTTTAGTGTTTTTGTGGGATGCGTCAGTGTGTCATTATTTTGTCCTCCTGCAGGGGTTGTCCTATTAAAGGTATCCGAGGTATTGTTGAATGTGATGCGCTTGACGTTAGCTTAACGTTAACTAGTGTACACAGCCATTACGTTACGCTTACAAATTTGACTGGTCAGTCACATTGGTTATTTAGATATGACTATTGCCACAGAATGAATATCTGTCATTGTTCGGGATTCGGTAGTTATGTGTTTTAGTTTTGAGGGTTACCTAAATTCCTGAAATCTACAGGTTTGTCGTTAGCGTGTCCGTGCTCGTGGTGGCTAGCCTTAGCCAGACTTGCTAGGTACAAGCACACGTTCTGCAATGGTCAGTTCATCAAGACGAAACGATAACGTTGAACGACGAGCGCCGGAACATGCAAAAGCATCGCCAAGTGTGACCCGTCCAATAATTGAACGCAATTTGTGCGAATGGTTGACGTTAGCTAACGATAACTTGGATCGTTCGCTTTGCGGCCATCATTGGCGGTATCGGCGGGGCAGGAGGTACGTGTACGTCTGTTGTCGTAACTTAGTTTGTTGTCCGATTTCTCCAATGTTGTCTGGGTTGTCTTAAAAAAAATTACAGGTCACGCATGACAACTTGCATATGATAACGATGCATGGTTGGAATAGGGATTTAACGTTAATAGTTGCTAAGTTGTATTATGCGCACAAAGGCCCCGTGCAGCTTCCCTCTTTCGTGTCAACAAATAACGGGCCCTCAGCATGTCTGTTAGAATCATAACTGTTAACATCTCCCACCGTTGAATCTGTACATATCAGAAAGTTGATTTCCCCGCTTTGGTTGAATGCGTTATTAACGTTATGCGTTAAATTCTCAAATCCTCGTCCCGGGCCCCTCCCACCTTTCATAGCAACAGCCTAACAGATTCACGTGGCACGGTGTCGTGACCGCAGACACGCTTTTGGTTGGTTTTTATCCTCCGTCTTGACGGTGCTATATGTAACACTCACCAATGCCTCCAATTTAAAACCAGATATACGTATTATGGATCATTTAGGACATAATTTTATACAAACTTATTAAACTTTTGAACTATTTCTAACCGTTTATTACTGTAAATTGTCAACAAATTGCAAACCGTTCCTTCTTGTGTTTTGTACAGCCAGCAGTTGTCCCACTCATATTTGTTTTGTTTTTTTTATCCATTTGCAGTTACTTTGAATAACAATGCAAAATCATCAATGGGTCATATTAAATAATTTAGTCGGAACTCACTTTGTTTGATGTATTATGTGTTCATGTGATCATATACAGATCAAACATGAGTTAAGCAGTTGGGAAGTGGTAAATATCTGGAGAATGAATGAATGATTTGTTGTTCCCCGTTGTTGTTGCATCTTAGCCTTTCTGTGCAGTGCAGAGTACTTTGACCCTAACTTGTGTTTTCCTCTTTCTGGCAGATCCTTTAACCTCGTACCAAGACCGATGATTACTGCTGTGAAGCCTTTGTTTTGTTTGAAGGAGCACTGACTCTGTTACTCATCACTGCTGAACTGTAGGTACATCTTTGGTTTTCATTATGTACTCTTAAATCAAAGAATAGCCCTGGAGAATATTGTGTGAAGTACAGTTTCCTTAATTTTCATTTGCAGTAATACTTAACGAGAATTCACAGGTCATGATCAACATCAAGAATTTCTAAATTGTGTTGAGCCAAAATAAACTTGGTTTAAGTCTTGTGAATGCCAGAATAAATGATGTAAACGGCAAAGACAAGTTAAATGTAAACTTAAATTATAAAATTTCACAAACGTTTCCCCCCCAGTAATATACAACCTTAAATTGCAGCGTAGAGGGTGAGCATTGGGATGGACTATGAGATTGTGTTTGGCCCGTGGGTGTAACGGTCGTCTTATAGAGGCATGTGTTCACTCGTATTTAGGCTTCACTCGTTAAAAAACTTGGTAGCCTATTACATTATAAGTCACGGACACGTGGATATTTCACAAGCACAGACCAGGGAAAGCAACTGTGAACACACTGTGCAGATGTTGGTTTTGGTTTGCTGCCGTGATAATGGATTGGGGGTGGAAAACTCCAGAAAAAAGACGAGTTCTGTGTCTTTTGTGCGACTTTATAAAACAAAGCCTACGGCTGATGGAGAAAGTCAGGGAAGCAGGGAGAGAGCTATAGAGAGACCTGGCAAGCAGGTGTGTTTGCAGTGAGAGACCAGAGGTGTGTCTGAGTGTGGGGAGAAGAGAAGTCCGAGGCAGGTGCAAAGCAGGTATATTTAAAAATAATAATGTTAGTGGGGATTAAAATATGTGAAACCTAGTTACGTGACTATTCACAGAAGAGGACATAGTTATTCCCCCTAAGTAGCAAGAATGCTACACTCAGAATATCATTATGCATTCATGTGGAAAATACTGCTGTTTAAAATAAAGGTTTTGTGCTGTCAAATGCACAGACCCTGCACACATTTTTATAGCCTGTGGAAGCCTAAATATCTAAATATTTTTGCAAACCTGATCACTGACAGAATATCCTTCAAAGTCCTTGTAATTTTGATTCGGCTGACAGATGTAAAGTAGGTCTTAGTGGGATGAGGCACACATTTGCTTTGAGGTTTACTGGCTTCTGATATACTCACACAAGTGTAGCATTTTGGGAGTTTTAAATCTGCTTTGCAGCTGCTGCTGGTCTCTCCTCCAACATTGACTCAAATGATTCCATTTTCATTAGCATTAAATCTTTATCAACAACAGCAAGACTTGAATCTTCTCCATACTTACTGTTGTGGCAGTGTCACACATATATAGATGCCTGTGCGTCACTTTGTGACATCACTGTTGGTGTATAGTCTATATATTTTGGTTTTACAGGCACATACTGGATTGGATTGTTGTTGCATAGCCTAGTTGCATGCAAAAATGATGTGTAAAACAGTCGTTGCTTTTTCATACGCCAGTGGACTACGTTTGTTTAGTCTTGGCAGGTGTTTAGATTATAGTGGGCTGAAAGAACCTTTTAAGTTCCTTGAAAAGTAGTTCCTGGTACTTTGTAATTTATGCCCACACGTCATTGACCATGAAGCCCTCTACCTTCGTAACATTGTGATTTAAAATTAAGAAATGCTCAAATGTGCAAAAAATTGAAAAAGGCCTAGTAATTAATATCCACCACATACGTGTATGTGTGGAGAGAGAGAAAAATGGAAATTTGTGAGTTTAAAAAGTCAGACAATGATATTTGTCAATAGTATTTATATATTATAAACACCTGTCTTAATACATATAATTTTAGATTTGCTTTATTAAGATTGTGATAGAGATACATATTAAGTGGGAGATTTTACAGTTAAAATCAACTTGTCAATGCTCTCTGGTGGACAAGCTATGTAATGGAGACACAGTTTCTAAATTAGCTCTCTGTTAGTTTGACATTTCTGTACTGCAATTTCTTGCTACTTATTGGCCAGCATATACATTGACAGCACATCAGCCTTAGCTAATATTTGCCGATAAATCAGCCACACCAGTTAGCAATTACTGACGAGGACGTCGTATGCATCAGTGTTGGTTTCAAGGTATGTGTCTGTCTCCTTTGTGTTGCTTCACTCCCCTTTCACAGCAGCCATGATGAGGTTGTTTAGCTACTCCGTGATAGTAGTGGTATCATGGGAAAAAGTGACGTCATTGCATCCCTTCAGTAGAGCTTCAATTCAAAGAGATTTGTTGAATTAGTACTTTATGGTGCAAATACACTTTGTAACTATCAAGATCCTACCAATGCCTAAAGAAAACAAGCATGGCAGCCCTCAGTACCCTCAGAATTGGTCATTTTTATGAACTGAAAAGAGTGACTCATAGCTGGTCTCTTGTGCTCTTCTGTAGACATTCATTTGAAAGTAGTGATTGACTCCATCGTCTATGGAGGAGAATGTGAGCCCTGCGCTCTCTCTAGCTCCTGAGCCAGGGCAGAGCCAGGACCGTATGGATAGCTGCTCTCAAGGTACCTTTGATGAGCTTCTTTTCCCTCACAATAAGGGGTTGGGAACATTGTAGTAATACTGGGCACAATTGTGCTATCAGGTTCTATGATCTTTGAGTGGTTTTAATTTTGGGTGAAAATGTAGGGTAAATAGGGATCTCATCCAAGTCAAGCATCATTGAATTTGTTTAGATTCATATGTATGCTTGATCACAATACAATCAGTAGTTGTTTTTTTGGCTATATTGTTTACAATTGCATGCCGTTATTGTTTGTCCATAGCCACCTTTGATTGTCTGTTTACAGGTTTTGGAGAAGGGGATAGTGAGCAAAAGGAACAGTTTCAAACAGAAAGTGAGAATGTGGCCAAAAAGACCATAAAGGAATCAGAAAAATATTCCAAGGCCAGCAGTGAAGTAAAGAAGACTTGGGGTTTCAGACGGTCCACTGTAGCAAAGCGAGAGATGCCAGTGGAGGCAGCAACCGAGAGCCCTGAAAACCGCTGTCCTGTGCGTCGCAGTGGCAGGCAGTCTAAGCGTACTGACAAACTTGAGGAATTCCTCTTGACTGCTAAAAGAGGTTCAAGAAAGAGTGCCCCCCCCAGTCTGGAAAGCGGAGATCCTCCTTCTCAAACCCCAACTGATGCGGAGACTGCGTCAGAGGCCAGCTTTGATGGAAATGCCGAGTCCAAGGCTGTGGAGGACAAGGTAGAGTCCCCAGAGAGGAGGACAAGGAGTGGCATGAGAAAGCAGACCCAAAGGAAAACTCAAGGTGGTAGACAGACCCGAGGAGGCGGTGGAGTGACAGTCAAAGATGAGGGAAGCTCTGAGAATGAGGAGGACAGCAGAGATGCTGCCAAGAAGGACCAGTTACCAGATGAAGATGGGGACAAAAAAGATGAAAAGAGCTGTCCCAGTCCTGAAGATGTAGAGAGCACTAACACAGTACAGCCTCAGCCAGAGCAGGACTTTGAGAAGAAAGAAGCTGCCGATGAGAAGAACGAACATGGAGATCAAAATGACAAAGTGGAAACAGAGAGGGAGACCGATAAAGACACTGACGAGGATGGTGCAGACAAGCCCGCAGCAATGTTGGTAAAACGTGGACCACTAAGAACTTACATCAATAAAAAGAAGGTAGCCAATAAGAACACTACCCCTGTTAAAGCTCCCGCCAACAAGAGCACAGCTCCTGTCAAGAGGGAGACCAAGCCTAAGGCTACCCAAGCTTCTGGAAACACACGCAAGCCCCAGACACAGGAGGACAACGATGACGAGAATGAGGATGACTCTTCAACGTCTTCGTCTTCATCATCCATTGACTCTGACGATGGAGGTTATGACCCCAATGCACTTTACTGCATCTGTCGCCAGAAACACAACAAGAGGTATTTTTAAATCAATAATTGTGGTGATTACATGAAAGTGTTTAAAGTACAAGGTACATTTTAACTAATTAAAACTATTACCATTTGAACTATTACCGTTTGCTCTTCATTGCACTGCATGTTTTCATTTTATGTCCCCTCCTTGTTATCAGGCGACCACTGTCTGATTCCATGTTATACTCAAAAGTATGAGGAAACCAAGACGGGGTTTTTATTGAGCATTACTTGACACAATTAATGTTCTGTGTTCACCAGGTTTATGATCTGCTGTGACCGCTGCGAGGAGTGGTTCCACGGTGACTGTGTGGGCATCACCGAGGCACGAGGGCGCCTGATGGAGAGAAATGGGGAAGACTACATCTGCCCCAATTGCACCGCTAAGAAAAACCAGGTGGTCAGACCTGCCACATCTATCCTCTCTACCCAGGCCAAACCTGATGGTGCTCGTCCAACTTCCTCGCTTGCTGTTTCTGCTGTGACCTCTTCTACAAGTGCTGAGAAAACTAATGCCAGTGGAGTAGATGGCAGTCTGTCAGCTGTTCAGGCTGTGGTAGCAACTCCGTCCTCTGTGTCTGCTGGAACTGAAGAGAGGGCAACAGAGGACATGGGCATCAAAGGCAGGATAGAGAAAGCTACGAATCCAACTGGGAAAAAGAAGATCAAGATATTTCAGCCGGTAGGTTATAACTGATCTCAACTAAAAACCTTTGAAATACTGTCCAGCTATTAAATCCCTGTCTGACTTGCTGCCTGTGGTTATGTAGTCCAGTTCATCATTTTGCATGTCAGGTGTTGTTCCGATGATTTTAATTTCAAAGTTACTATGGTTGTACTATGTCGATGTCACGGTAAACTATTTAATGCTATTAGCAGCTTATGCTTGAACTTAATTGAATTCAGTGTCACTACAGTAACTGTCAAATGTGTGGGTGAAATGTAAATTTTAATTATGAATCCCCTAATCTGTGATTAGAGTACAGTACCCCATGACTCTCACTTTATCTGTGCATATGGCTCTAGATTTTAAAACTCTCTGGACAAACAGATGGTTAAAGGCATGATGGTAGCATTGGGCAGCCTGCTATAGCTTGAAATTGAAAACTGTTTTGTTTAAAAAAAAAATCACTATTGCTATCTGTAAAATGAGTAGTAAATTGAGAAAGCTGGTATTTTGAAAGCACTAGGTTAAAATGGCAATGCTGGTCATTAGCTGTTAACTTTATTGTGTGCCTACTCGGAGCAGACTCTACAGCAGCCTGCCGTACCAAAAGCAGACCAAAAATCGGTACCAACTGTGGAAAAGAAGGCGGCACCCGCAGAGCAGAAAGCGCTGCCAGAAACGGAGCCGAAAGTGGCGTCAAACGTGGAGGTGAAAACAACACCAACAGCAGAGGTGCCAGAGGAGAAGGCCCAGCAGAAGGCTGAGGATTCTTCCCTTCCCAAATGCATCGGGCCTGGCTGTGAGAACAACGCCCAGCCAGACTCTGTGTACTGTGGCAACGACTGCATCCTGAGACATGCTGCTGTGACCATGAAGTCCATCACTGATGTCAAGGAGCCCAAGCCGAAGGAGAAACCCAAGTCTCAGAAAAGCAAGTCTACACCAAAGGTAACTCGGACCACTTAAAATGACGTCCTTGGCCTGGCAAAACTGTTCATGCCTTTCACCTATTTAGAAAAGCAGAACACACTTTCTTTGAAGTAGTGTGTGTGCATGACTGTGTGTAATCTGTGTCATAGACGGGTAGATACAGTGGAAACTTCTTTATAGAGAATACTTTTACAGTGATTAACTGCTTAAGATGGGTCAAAAAGCTTGGCACAGTACTGTTTGCATAATTTGCTTACAGTAATCAAATAGTCAGCTTATAGTATTCATTTTGGGTCTTTGTGGAAAAAATCTGAATATTTTATGAATATAATATGAATTTTAAACTCTACCAGTTCAGCATTGTTGGTCTACAGTTTATTCTCAGGCCTGTTAAACATTTTAAAATGCACTGAAACCACTGCAAAGCTCTGGCTTATCTGTACTATTAACGCTACTGTATTTGAAACAGCACATCATTAATCTAGGTCTATTTATTACAGCTTTATTATAATTTGAACCACAGTGAGCTATATTTTCTGAACAGTGATGTATAGGGTATTTGAGTTATACACAGTACATTAATTCATTTGTACAGTAATTTGAAGTGTTTTGAAATAGCTTGATAGATGTCAGGTAAATCTGCAGGAGAAAAAAAAATTGTTATAATGAACATCAGCTTAAAGTGATCAATTTGACCTGGACAGAAGCGATCACGATGAGGTTTCCACTGTATTAGACTTTTGATCACATCACATTTGACAAATAATTTCATAAATGCGTTTTGTTTGCTGAATGTTTTGTTTATTGTTAGTGTTGCTGGGCATAGAATCCTGGAGTTTGGTGTGTCCATTGAAGACAAGTATTTTTCTGAGTGGCTTTAATTAAAATCTGATTATTTTTATATATATATATATATATATATATATATGCATAAATAGCTGCATTGGTTTGACTTGGATGAAAATGGTGTTTCACTGCTGATTTGCTTTACAAAACTCACATTTATGTGTATGCAACAATTATTACCTAATGAATAAGTCATATTTAGGATAAAAATAAAAATCCAATTTTTAGGATGGTCAAGTTTCCTTGCTGTGGCTGCACTCTCTGCATTTAAATAATGTCACAAGAAAGTCAAATCTTGGCCTGATTTTAAATGGTTTAGGGAGCTTTGTTGTTGCTCTAAAGTACTACTTGTGATTGGAATTACTTAACAAATGGTAACTGGATACTTTCTGATGTCAGAATGTGTTTGATTAAGTGCACATTTAAAGAAACAAATTTAGGTGGAATTTGGTCTTAATAAAGGATGGTAACCAGCAGCGGAGCAGGTAAAGTTCAATGGATCAGAACAAAATGAGTGTCCTGTCTACTGTACTGTCAGCTCATGTGGACAATGGAGTCATGATTCCCACTGGATTGTTAAATGGACAAAAGCACTGCATGCTGAATAAAGTTGTCAAGTAATGTGGTTAGGCACTAAGAATTACTTTGCTTTACAAGCTAATATATGTGATAAAATGGTATGTTGCACCCCAAAAAGGCTACTGATGTTCTCCGGCCCTATGTGGTGGCTTTATGAAGTGAAAATAGTTTTCTAGATGCATTTTCCCAGTGTACCATAAAGATCCCACATTACATTGATTTTCAAGGTCATACTTTCATATTAGGTGTGTACTAGAAAAATTTAATGTGCTTTAATATTTCATCACTGCCTCGCCCCTTTAGGAGACTAGCAGTGGGTCCTGAGTCTATTCACTCCAATAGGAGAAGTGAATGTGAGCACTGACTATGACAAATACCTTTGTCCCATAGTCACCTAAGTAAATATTGAACCCATTTTTCACAAGCTACATATCTCCTGAACATTCTGACACTAAAGTGGCATTTTTCAGCTGAAAATTAACTCCTGTGTCAGCAGCACGCTTTCACTCTCAATCTGGCAACACACACAGAGACTAGAGTGTCACTCACAGCACACTTTTTCTGTTTCACTAAATTAAATTGATTTTAATTGTTAAAATTTTTTAAAAATTTACAGGTATGTAAATGCACATGACAACATTGATTGCGATTTAAATTAATCGTGCAGCTCTAGTTATCATTTTTATGTAAATTCTGTTATGTTAAGTGTATCTAACAATAACATTATATGCATGTGCCACCCAAATGCTTTCATCCATCCACACGACGTTCACAACACCTCCAAACGAAATGCGAAAGAGGCGACCACGCCCACTTTGAATACAGGAATTGTATACCATTTTATACTATTGGCGCAGCTTGTAATGCGTCATCTTTTGTTATATATGTGGGGGTGTGTGTGTGTGTGTGTGTGTAGATATATAGATAGATACACTGAATAAAATTATAAACACTTTTGTTTTTACCCCCATTCATCATGAGCTGAACTCAGATCTAAGACTTTCTCAATGTACACAAAAGGCCTATTTGTCTCAAAAAATTTTCACAAATCTGTCAATCTGTGTTAGTGAGCACTTCTCCTTTGCCGAGATAATCCATCCACCTCACAGGTGAGGCATATCAAGATGCTGATCAGACAGCATGGGTATTGCACAGGTGTGCCTTAGGCTGGCCGCAATAAAAGGCCACTCGAAAATGTGCAGTTTCACTGTACTGGGGGTTTGTGCAGAAATTCTTTGGTTATGCAAACCGATTGTTGCAGCAGCTGTCTGGGTGGTTGGTCTCTTCTTGGAGATGCTGTGGATGTTGTGGAGGTCCTGGGCTGGTGTGGTTACACGTGGTTACACGTGGTCTGTGGTTGTGAGGCTGGTTGGATATACTGCCAAATTCTCTGAAACGCTTTTGGAGACTGCTTATGGTAGAGAAATGCACATTCAATTCACGGGCAACAGCTCTGGTGGACATTCCTGCTGTCAGCATGCCAATTGCACACTCCCTCAAAACTTTAGACATCTGGGACATTGTCCTGTGTGATGGAACTGCATTTTTGAGTGGCCTTTTATTGTGGCCAGCCTAAGGCACACCTGTGCAATACCCATGCTGTCTGATCCGCATCTTGATATGTCTAACCTGTGAGGTGGATGGATTATCTTGGCAAAGGAGAAGTGCTCACTAACTCAGATTTTGACAGATTTGTGAACAATATTTGAGAGGAATAGGCCTTTTGTGTACATTGAGAAAGTCTTAGATCTTTGAGTTCAGCTCATGATGAAACAAGTCTTTATTATTTTGTTCTATCTATATCTTTCTTTCTATCTCTATCTATCCATCTATCTATATATTTATTTAATGGATACTTTAGCAACAGGTAAAGCTATCTGTCCATCAGAGAACTCTATAAATCAGAGTTGAGGCAAAGCAGAGGGGGGAAAAAACAGAAATCCTCAAAAGTGCTCTCTCCGAGATTAAACAAGCTCTAGCTCACTGACTGCATGACCACTTGGTATTGCTTAGGACGTCTGTGCAGAAGTTAACAGGACACGTTGAACTACATTATACCTGAGAAACTGTCCTAAAGCTGAGAAAAACTTGCGACGTCATCACAATGTAAAGTTTATTGGCTGAGTAGGAACTGATGGGCAGGGCCTACAGGAGAAACACTACTATGTATGTTCGGTGAGCTGCGTAAACCTGGAAGCTAGTAACCTTTTTGCTATATGTGCCAGGTGAGCAATTATCATTGGGCTGAAGAGGTGCCATCATTGGGTCCAGTATCCAGATGTTACTATACATCTATGGTCTGGGTGGGCATGCTGGGGGCACGGCTGAGAGCGGTGACTGAATCTTTTATTCGCCCACTTTAGCCTGTTAACCTAATTTTTACCTAACCGGAGTCAACAGTCCAACTCTTGTTAAATGCTCCACTTCTCACAAGTAACTGGCTATGTGTTACACACCCGCCTATTTCATGTGCATTCATAACTAAATTCAAAAACCTTTTTTTGTCATTAATTTGAAAACTTAAATTGACTTTGAACCTTCAGAGTAAACAAGGATGCAACGTGCAATGCATGCATTGAGATCTTTTATTATTTCAAGTGATATATACTTTCAGGGAAACAATGTTTATAGGGTTTCAACATAAAGGACCAAAGCCTGTAAATATTGAACTAGCTTAGTAATACGGAGTCCTCTTTTGTAGAACTTTGCGAGCTTAGACCATTAAAATATATATATACACATTTTTAGTAAGTATGTCCAAGTGTACAGAAGCACAGATACTACATCCGGAGAATTGTAAGACTGCCAGTCTGGAGCCTAGGGTATGCAGAAATCCTATTAATTACTTTTAAATTGTATTGTGCATGCTATGTGTACAGCAGTTAGAAGGGACATACAAGGAGAGCAGCCAAGGGCAGATTTTTCTGGCATTTGGCACTCCTTTAATAGAAGGAATGTATTTGTAAAAACCAACATAGCTCAAGTAAAACACTTCGTATATTATCTGTAATGTTAATCAAACGATGCTTGTTGAATGCTGTTACTAAAAGCCTGAACATGTGTTTCTTCCCATCACCCAGAGGAGTGGCGCTGGTGGAAAGAAGACGCAGAAGAAGACCTGGGAGGAGTCGGACAGCGAGGAAGATCACAGTCCTGAATCAGATGAGGACGACGAAGATGAGCATGCTGAGGAACACCCGCCCCCGCCTGCCACTGCATCCTGGTCCAGCGACCATAATTACATTGCAGTAACACCAGAAAAGACTACACCCATATCACCAACAGTGTTAAACAAAAAGTGTATGTATCTCTTTGAAGGTCTTGGGCTGTTGTTGAAACCACATTGTCATTTTTCAATTATAAATGTGGTTCCTGTCTTGCTAACATAATTTAGAAACAACATACACGTACATTTGGGGAAGAACAGGAGTGCTCTGGAGATGAACTTTAAAAAGCAAAATGTTGTGATTTTGATCATGTAATGGTTTTGTTACTCAATGACATGTTGGCAGCTATGGAAAAGGTAAGTGTCATTTGTGGCTTTGGGTAAGTATTCAATAATCCAGATTGTATTTATTCTGAAAGGGGCACTCCACAGTTTGTAGTCATCAGGATAATTTTATCAGTCATGGTGGGGTATTGTGAACACAATTGTATAATGTCTTCTGTGGCTCTGGAAGAGTTTTGTCTGTCTGAGAAGTCTGAGAAACTGATTCTGATAATGTCACCAGGGGTATCTAAGCTCGGGCTTGGAGAATTTAAATTCTTTGCAGATGTCCTGTGTCACAAACTAAAGGCAGGAAGATGAAAGATGTAGGCAGGGAGCGTTCAACAGATTGTGCCTGTGTATTATGGGAAATGTAGGAACCATTTATATTTTTTTAGTTTTTGGATCTTGACCCTTTCTATGGAGCTAAAAGTCAGGATACCTTGGCCTCTGCAGCATCAATTTGGACAATTTACTTTTTTTAATATGACACTCGGTCCCTCAACTTTTTGGAAGTGCAATACTAAATCGCTGGAGTTACACCTTTCAAATACCTCATACTTAAAATGCAGGGCTGCAGATAAAAACTTATAATGGAACGTGGAAGAGCTAAATGGAGAGCAATAATCTCAAACTCAGCTTTCAGCATATTATGCTGCTTTCCCGTGAGATGTATGGATGTGATGAATAGACTGGTGCTTGTGTGTTTGATTTCAAAATACCCGCATGAGTCACTTTACTTCCTGGGTTCATCACCTCAGCTGTTGGACCCATAACAAAGGTCCTCCCCTCTCTTTCTCCAGCAGGTAGGTGTCTGAGAAGTCCCCCATCTTAATGTGGACCGATGAAGCTAACATAGCTCATATTGAGCTGATAATATCAGCTGTTTGTGTTGTCTACCTTTTACTTTTGTGGGTTGACAGGCTCACTATTTTTTTTTTTTCCAAAGGTTTTGATTCATATTGAATATGATGCATTACTACCCGTGGGAAACTGGCTTTAAAATAAAAGGTGTTATAACAGATCATAGGATGCCTCGATTGATTATGTGAGCAGTGTTGGCTTCCTGTAGGATTTCCTGACCAGGTCAGCTCAAACAAGCATTTACAGCTGTTAAATCTACACACACTGTGGAGACGTGATGCTCAAGAGCCCCCAGATGGTGAACAGCTGGAAAGAAAGAACGAACCTCTGCCACAGAGACCAGACCACCTGGAGATACTGCAGTGAAGTTGAGAATGGCCACAGCAGAAGATGGAAGCGGAAGACCAGGGCTGAGTGCACAGATACAGAAGAGGGAGAGCTACGCTTGAAATTTTTCCACACACATTTTGCACCTGATGAGATCTGATACATATAAAGGGGAACGTTTGTTGCAATGAAATGTGGACATTTCAGATTCTTTCACCTCTCCCTTTATAAAAGGTCACTGAAGGCACTAGTAGGATCTGAATTGATGAGATGGCAAGGGTTAATTTTAAGTAAATGCATCGTCAGGAGCTCTGTATGACCACTGATTGCGATTTACAGGAGGACATTATGGCTTATTGATTTGCATTTTCATAGCCCATATTTACATGAGTGATATTCTGATTGGTCTGACAACCTATTTTCATATGATAGTTGACTTTGGTTGCTTTGTGTGTCAATACTGTTGCTCTTCTTAAAATTGTGGTTTATACGCTTTAGTAGGTGTAGATGTGTTTAAGTGAGGTTAATGCTTATAATAAAGCAGTTTTAACACAACTTGGACAATAATAGATGACGCACTAGCAAGAGGACAGTTTGAAGAACAATTCGGTGTGTGGATTGTTATGTAAGTCTTGGCACAAATTGGTTGATATAATACTTTTATATATTTTTAAGTGAATGCTGTTTAAGAAATGTAATGTGTACTTATATCATTTATTTAAATAACAGATCTATTACGTAGAGTTGGGTCTGGTTACTTTTGAGGTCAGCTCATGGCCTTATCAGGTGGTGATGGTGTTAGTGGGTAGGGTTTGTAGCTGAGCTCATATGAATAAATGTTTTAAATGTGCAGTTTAAGAATGAGTTGTGAAAGTTATTTTCAATGATTTCCAATGCACGCAGTGTAATGGAGCATTTATGCTTTAGTGGGCAGTGAAATATGTGGGCTAAACATATCTGAATGAGTGGTTGATGCTTGTCTCACATTTAAATGAGAGAACCTGGCAATTGCAGTCCTTTGTGTTCAGTAAGTTTACAGTTTGCATAAGCCTTGTGCATCAGTTCTTTTTCTCCTGTACGGATATATGGGTACAGAGAATCAAGTTCTCGTATACTTCTATTGGAAGACCATCGCCACCAGATAAATGTTTGGGACAAAAATGCTTCTTCCTCGAATGGACCTGCATAAACAGCGATACAATGTATCTGCCATCCACTGCTGCAAATAAAGAAGGGCTTTTATAACTGCCCCGTTGTCAATTTTGTGTTTATTTCAGTATGTTTAATGTAATGCAATCAATTGTGTGATTTAATCACACAAATAATGCGAATGCAATTTATTTTTCTGGATCAATTGAGGGAGGGCCTCCTCATAGGTTTTACTGCTTTGTTCCTTGTTGGGTTTTTTTTTCCCCGGCTGTGACATTATGTAAAAACAATTTTTGTCAGCATTATAGACCTAAAATCCTGATTATCTGAAGGGGTTGTTAAATACTGTCACACTGCAGGTAGTATCTGCTGATTTTAAAATGTTTGACCTTGTTCTCTGTCTCCAGCACCACCCAAAGATGAGAAGCAGAGTGAGAAGGAACAGAAAGAGAAGGAACCGTCCTCGGCTCCTGAGAAACCCTCCCCAGCATCCACAACACCAGTCAGAGGAAACAAGAAGTCCCCGACCACTAAAGCAGCTAAGGTTTCCCCAAAGGGCAAGAAGCCTTCCTTTCAGACTGTCAGTTCAAAGGCGTCCAAGAAACCTGTGACGCCCCCAAGTAAAGCTGCAGCGAAGTCCAAGAAACCAGGTCCATCGCCCGTCCATACCCCGTCTCCCTTTCCTCCTGGTCCCATCCACGTCACAGGAGCACTGAGAGTCACCAAGTCCAACTTTACCATTCCTAAAAAGCAGCCACAACAAAAGGATCCTCCATCCCATAGTCACTCGTCCTCTTCCTCCAGAGTCCCATCATCTCCAGTTTCTTCAGCTCCCTCCAGCCATTCATCTTCCAGACCTCCACATCCAGCCACGTCAGCGCCCCCTGTTTCCCCCATGCCGCCGCCCAACAACCAGATGAGACAGAACATCCGCCGCTCGCTGACAGACATCCTCTATAAGAGGTAAGCGTTTGGTTCAGAATTCTTTTGCTGTTTCTATAATACTTCGAGTAAATTTTTAGCTTAACATCTTTAAACAACAAACACCAATATTTGTTGTGTTCCTTACCACCAGGGTGAGTGACAGTGATGATCTGAAAATGACCGAGAGTGAGGTGGGAAGGCTGGCTGTTGCCATTGAAAAGGAAATGTTCAATATCTGCCTTAGCACTGACAGCAAGTACAAGAACAAATACAGGTCCCTCATGTTTAACCTGAAAGATCCCAAAAACAAGGTGAGTCAAAGTAAACATGCATGAACTTATATTTTCAGCTGAGCACACATTTTATGTTTGCAGAGTTTGGTGTGTACAGCCTGACAAGCTTTGTTTTTGTGAACTTACTTGATTTCCCCGATGGCAAAATGTTAAAATACTGTGCGGTATGTTTGTTTCAGGGCTTGTTCTACAGGGTGGTGGGTGGTGAGGTTAGTCCCTTCAGACTGGTGAGACTCAGTGCTGAAGAGTTGCTTTCCAAAGAGATATCTGAGTGGAGGAAACCCGATGCTCCTGAGGTAAATGTTACTTCCCTTCAACTGTACACCAAGCACAGGTCATCTTGCGATTTAAAAAGCTCCCTGTTGAGATATTTAATTAAGCTAGCTATTCTTCAGGATGCATAAAATTGGTACATTGTATATGGTTGTTTCTGCAGGCCCAGTGTTCCAGTGGAAGGGTTCATTCGGGGCAGTCCAAACTAGGCAACAGGCATGACTCTGGCTCACATAGCATGGATATAGACGATGCTCCACCAACATCTGATGCGGATGTATGTATCTCTGCCACCACTTCATCTGCTCGCATGGCTTCTGCTGCAGTAAGTGGTGGCATACTGTCTTTCTCTAGCTTTCACACTTTTCACCTTTTGCATGTGGTCCTTAGTACACAAACTGTTAGACAAATCTGCCAATGGAAAGACAGTAGCAAATATATTGCAGGTCAGTTACCTTTCCAGCTGTCCTATTCTTCAATGCAATTTCTTCTACTTTCTTTCTGAAGCTTTGTTTTTCTTTGTCTTTGTTAGGCATCAAACCTATATGCAAAAAAATACAGTGGTGGTGTTCATAATAATCCAGAAATGTGGGTGCTGTGTGTATGATTATCATCTGTTGCAGTTCACCAAAGACTTGACAGAGATCCTCTTTTTCTGTGTCCACAGGACCAAGATGAGTCTAACTCCACTCCTTCAGCTTTGGCTCAGACCTCTGCTGCGGAGGGAAACGGTGGCAGCAGCATGCCAGACATTTTCAGTGCGATGCTGAAAGACACCACCGCTGAACACAGGACTCATCTGTTTGACCTTAACTGTAAGATCTGCACAAGTAAGTGAGAGGCAGACATTAAGTGTCGGGATAATATTCATCCAGTGAATTACACGTGATTTTTTATACAACAGATAACCTTATTATAGCGTTTTAAATCTTGCCCTCTAGGTCAGAAGACAGAAGATGAGCCTGCAGCTAAAAAAGCCAAACTGACAAAGAAGCCTGAAACTAAGCCGCCCAGACAAGAGCTGCATTCGTCCAGGTCAGGGGATGTCTCTCCTACAGCTTACCAGAACCAAGACCCTTTAGCCTACCAACATCCGATCCCATCATCTTACCAGTCTAACGTGGAGCCAGCTGTCCCAGAATCACAGGCGCAGCTTTATCAGGAGGCACCTCCAGCCCCCGTCAACCCCGCCGTGTCCTCTGTCAGCATCACCCGCAGAGACCCACGCATGGCCAGGCACAGCTCCAGTGTGACTGTCACCTACACTGCTCCAGAAAAGCCCGTCAACACAGAACTTCTCCCAGCTCCTGTTAGCGCTCCAGTAGAGGTTGGACCCAAGGCACCACTGCCAATGCCCCCAGCTCCACCACCTTCATTAGCTGTGTCCAAACCAGTAAAAAGGTGCTCAACCTCACCATGGTTTTATAAATTATATTTTTTCAGAATTGCTGGGTTTTGTGGAACGCTAATATTTGTAAGCAACATATTTTGTATATTGTGTGCTAGAATTGCATGAGAATTTACAGTATATATGAAATTCTATTTTTAAACAGGATTGTTGTTGCTACAGTGTATTATGGGAAACGCTCTGTGCGCGATAAACAGGCTTGAGAATTGGGTTTTGGCTTTTCTCTAAAAGTAAGTTTTTTGGTGGGGGGGTTTTACAGTACACCCGAGCCTCCTCTTGAGGGCGAGACAGCAATCTTCCTCCATGGTCAAGAGAAGATTTGGAAAGGATTGATCAACATGCAGTCGGTGGCTAAGTTTGTGACCAAGGCATATCTGGTGTCAGGATCCTTTGAACATCTGAAGGAGGTCAGCAATTTTGCCTGGTTATTGGGCTGGTTCTTCATTTCAAACTTAATCATTGTTGAATGCAAAACCTTTGGTCATACATGTAAGCAAAAGCGTCATACTTGCTGTCAATGTTGTGCAGGATTTGCCAGACACAATTCATGTTGGAGGACGGATATCTCCAAACACAGTGTGGGACTATGTCGGGAAACTGAAAACCTCGCTCTCCAAGGTTAGTTCGGGGGCAAAATGTATTTGCATGAAGGTGCCTAACATCTTTACTTAAAGGCCTTGCATCTCTTACATACTGGTTTTTGGCTTTCTCTATGTTTGCAGGAACTGTGCCTGATCCGTTTCCAGCCAGCCACAGAGGAAGAGGAGGTGGCATATGTCTCTCTCTTCTCTTACTTTAGCAGCAGGAAACGATTTGGTGTGGTGGCCAACAACAACCGACGCATCAAAGACCTCTATCTCATCCCTCTGGGCTCAAAGGACCCATTACCCTCCAAACTCTTACCGTTTGATGGGCCAGGTAAGCACTTACAGGGATACACAAATATACCTTTTTGGTGTCATGAGTGTAATTGTATTTATTTAATGTTTATGGTTGTAAATTGAGTTTTCTTCGTACATGTGGTGAGTACATTCTGTGTCGCCTTTGCTTTTGGACTCCGGGTAAAATGAGAGCTTGTTTTGATTCATGGTTTTGTCCTGTAGGGGGCACTCACACTCCTTGTTGAGTCTCCCCTGGAAAACACCTCTGTGCATTTAACAGCTGCTGTGTTCTCTGCTGTGTATCTGACTTTGTATCACATTTCTAATAAAGGAAGTTGCATCGCAGGTTGGTGCCATTTGAGTCCAGTCTCAGCCTGTTTCTTAAGACTTGGCTTGTACATACACATAATTCAGCAACTGTGTCATCTACAAATAGCCATGAGGGAAAGTTGTCAATTAATTTTATGCCACGCTGGTGTTTATATGGTAACTTGCTGCACCGCTGGAATACACCAAAAACTTACTTTACTTGTTCTCCTAAAATGAAGAATCAGAACTTCTATATAAACTTTTCAACCAGTAATGTAAAACACTGTTAACAGTATCTACATGGCTATTGCTGCAGTGGTAAGAAAAATAGTTGTCCATCTTCAGCAGTTGATCTACTCCTGCATATTGAACACTGGATTCGTGAGGTTTATTAATTGAGTAGAAAAATAAAAGCACACATCTTCAATTTGTGACCAGGCTGATAAAGATCCAAAAATTAAATTTCACTATTTATGCACTTGACTATGGATTAACCAGAATAACATTATAGTTTACCATATGTTGCAGTATTTAGTGCAGTTGTGTTTTGGCACTTTACAGGTGCAGTTTAGTGAGTCAGTGAATGATTTCGTGTTTTTACTTCACTTACATTTGTTTTTTGGTTTTCTCTACACATCACTCCTATCACCGTCACAAACCTAATGATAACAAACAAGAAGTTTCTCTGCAGCTGGTGCTCATTTACTAATGTCAGCACGTATTTTGCTTTTGTTTTTAACTTCAACAAGTTTAATGACTACTGACTTATTGCTGTAGACAAAGAAACTGGCACAGTCATATTACTACCATCGTCATTTGTCTTATACAAGGATTCACTCTGGAGTTGAGAAACTTTGGTTTTATATCCGATCAAGCCTTTTAGGCTACTAGGTATTTGTCTTTGTATCGTGGAAAGTGTTTCGAGGCACTCGTTTCACTTTTTTGTATCTATTGCATATGTCAGAAATGCTTAATCGAACCTTTTGTTTGAGCAGTTTTATAGAAAGAATAGCAGTCTTTTTTGTGAAATTGTATCTGTTAGTTCACATGCAGTTCACAAGCTTTTTTTCAAAGATTATTGTTTTCTGTCTTGCAGGGCTCGAACCAGCTCGTCCCAATCTCCTCTTGGGGCTGCTGATCTGCCAGAAGGACAAAAAGCGAGCTGGTGCTCCATTAGAAACTGAGGAAAAACGGTCCAAGATTCAAACAAAGGATGCCGATGACACTGGCCTTCCAAAGCCAGCTCCTTCAGTCAGAGCAGAACGAAGCTCACGACAGAGTCTTGAAATCCCCTTCAGCACAACACCTCCAGGGTCACCTCCAACCAGCTCCTCTGAGACCACAAGCAGCACTGTGACGACCTCCTCAGTACTTTCCTTTTTGTCATCTGTGAAAGCTCCAGCTACATCCACTACCACTGGCAAGGACTCCCCATCTTCCTCCAGCTCTATTGCTTCCTCTGCAGCAAATGCCACTCCTCTTCAGACCATCCTCAACACTCTTTTTGGGAAGAAAAAGCATGACTCGGAAGACCCCATTGTGCAGCAGTTTGCACAGATTTCTAAAGAGAATCCGGTTGAGGAGGACGAAGATGACCGACCGTATGATCCAGAGGAGGAATATGACCCCAGTAGGGGCTACAATGTGCCTAAGAAGCCTGTTAAGGTAGTAAGCAAACCTGAAATCTCAAAGCAGCCTGAGTTGGTTACAAATGAAGGTGATGATGTGGCTTATGACCCAGAGGATGACTCCATTTTTGACGATGTGAAATCTCTAGTACCAGGGCAAGCTAAGGCTGCAGCTGAATCTGTAACTAATCCACAAACGATCTTGGAGAGCCTTAAACAGATTGGGGATCAGACATTCCAGAGACGGGGAGAACATCAATTGTCATCCACAGGGACACCCTGTGGTTCAATGACACTTCCAGACACACTCCTAACTGAACCTACCAAATCCCTTTTGGCAAATACTCAGCTACTGCAGCTTGGCAAAAAGGTTGAGGAACTAGTGAAGTCTTCATCAGTTGCTCCCTTGATCAACCAGAGGAGAGATCCCAGACAGAGCAGGGACCCACGCCAGGCTGCACCCGGCAGGAAATCGACCGATGAACCTGAGGAGAAAGAGGAGGCATATGCTCTGTTGGGGGATTCCACTCCTTCCTCAGAACTTGTGGTTCAAGAGACTCACCAGTCCAATGTAGCTGAACTCCCGGACTCCTCGCACGAGCCTGAGACATCACTGCCTCAAGAGGAAGAGAAAAGCGAGACGCTGCCATTCATGGAGTCGGACAAGGCCGAAGTGTCAATTCCATTATTAGGGGAAGAGGTGGAACCTGATATTGAGGTCAACTACATGGATGAGAAAGAGGTTAAAACTGAGGAAGATGAGCCAATCAAGGTGGAAACAGAGATGGACAGGTACAGTATTTGGCCAAATGCTGCCAGTATATTAAAAGCTGGTGAGGACTCTGAGTATGAGGGAGAATAGCCAAGATACACCAACCGCAAGTTATTATAATGAGCCTGCAAACACCTCCATAATAACTTCAACAATCCCAGTACTAACTCAGAGCACAACAATGGTTGATACTCAATCCCATCACATGCCACATCATCACATGTCAGCATCAGGCTTCGACAGCGAGTACAGACCTCCAGCTGACATCCCCCCACTATCCAATTTCCCCCCCATCCCATTCAATGCAGGGACAAAATCTGATAATGAGGCCTCCGCCTATGTCTATGCCACCACCCATGCAGGGTCTTCCTCCAATGTCAGGCCCCCCTCCTATGCAGGGACTCCCTCCACCCATCCATGTTCCTCCCCCTGTACATGGTCCTCCCTCCATGCAGGGTGACAGCAGCCAGCAATATGGTCCACCACCGGCTGCATACCCTCCCTATCAGAACCAGTGGCCAGGTACCCAGCCACCGCAGCAGCAGCAGCAACTGCAGCAGCCTCCTCCTGGACCACTTCCTCAGAATATCATGCCACCCAGAGGACCACCACCACCATTCCCTCCAGCGGCCCAGAGAGGCCCTGCTCCTCAAATGTTTGATCCCTCCATTCCCCCTCAGCACATTGGACAGCAAGGCCTCCCTCCAGGGCTTCCCCCACGCCCTGCTTTTGATACACAGAACAGTTTACCTCCACCAAGATACACTGGTCCTCCACCGCAATTTAATTTCCCTGCAAACAGAGTCCCTCCTCCACCTTTCTCGGGGCCTCCTCCCAGTCACTTTGATAACAGACTCCCTCCTCTGCCCCACTTCCAAGGCCCCAGGGGTCCCCCGCCATCTCAGTATGGTGACCACGGGGCTCAATCCCCAATGATAGACCAAACTCGGTGTCCTACAGACCAGTATAACAAAGACAATTCAAACTCTTACAAGCTAAATGTGGACCAGAATCCAAACCCTCACCATGTTTTTAATGTTTTTAAAGACAATCAGGCTACCCCGCCAGGTCCAGCATTTCGGGGACCTCCACCTAACCAGTATGAGGACAGAAGAGGGCCACCTTCCAGTGGTGAGATGAGCGGACAGCACTTCAATCCACATAACCAGTATGGGAGCTCCAGACCACACTCCTCACCGCCACATAGAGGATCTTTTGATGAGCCCAGAGGTCCTCCCCCTCACGAGAACAGACCCCATCCTTCTCAGCGTTTTGGAGGTTCAGAGCGGTACCGCCTTGATAGGCACTCTGATGAAAGCTAGATCTCTTCGCCATAGTGGGCCACTACTGCCAACTCCTCCAGAGGCTCCCATAGGTCCTCCAAGTCGCATGGGAGCCCACAGTCCAGACCTGCACTGGCGCCGCCACTCTCCTGAAATGAGGAGGAGGAGCAGCACCAACCGAGAGGACTCAGAACCGCGTGGCGGAGATCGCTTCAGTCGCTTCGAAGGAGGGCACAGAGAACCTGCTCCTGGTCCCTCACAACCCTCTGAAGAGAGACCGAAGGAAATGTCTGAAGACCGGCGGAGGGAAAGAGAGCGGGAAGTCCCACACGGTGGCAGACCGTCATGGGACAGGGGCCAGGGCAAGCGGTGGAGCAGAGAGCAAGAGTGGGATAGAGGTAAAGAAAGGGACCGCGATCGGGAGCGTAGCCGAGAAAGAGACCGCAGCAGAGGGGGGGAGGGCGAGAGGCAAGGGGGAAAGACGGAGGGAGAGAGACACAGGGATCAAGACACGGATAAGAGGAGAGACCGGGAGAGAGACAGGGAAAGAGACAGACCAAGGGATTCTGACAGAAGGGACTATGACCGGGACAGAGGGAGAAACCGTGACAGAGAGCGCGAACGCGACCGTGAACGAGAGCGAGACAAGAGACGGGACAGATCCCGAAGCAGGGAACGCGACAGAGACCGTGGGAAAGACCGGGGCAGGGACAGAGACAGGGAGAGGGAGAGAGATAGGGACAAAGACAAAGACAGGGACAAAGACAAAGACAGGGATCGTAGGGACAGGAGTAGAAGCAGAGAAAAAAGAGAGGAGAAAAAGGACAGTAAGCATGATACACCCAAGGAGAATGACAAAACAGCACAAAATGACAAGAAAATGTCCTAGTCTCTGTTTGTCAACACTACATTATGGTTTTGAAAGACGCTTCAATCTTTCACCAGTTGAAATCATCACTGTAAATGTAGATGAGCAGTATTTTGTTAAATTTCCACAGTTGTGTTCCTACTAGAAAAAAAGTTTGACAATGTTTGTATTCTTTTCGTCACTTAAAGGTTTCTAAGTTTGTTTTATCACATTCGGATAAAAACCTGGCCATCTAAGTTGCTTGTGTACAAGATGTATTAATTAGGCTACTGAGTCCTATTACATGGATCTTTCTCCTGTTTTTTAAGAGAACAATGATGTAACTGATTAACACACCATTTGAAATATGTAAATATGAATGTATTTGTGTATATACTGATGTTTTTAATCATACTTTTCTAAGTAGAGAAAATAAAAGCCATATATCTGAGATGGATAATGTGAACGCTGGCAACACTGTTTACACACAGATGTGTGTTTATATGTCCAATAGCTTTGAACTTAAGGCTCCAACTATCTACAGTATAGACCCCATCAATGGCTGTTAATGAAATGTCCTGATTTTGTTTCAGCTCAACCAATTAAACCCGTTTGATGATCAGTGTGTTGGTCTCTGCTGTTGTAAATACAGTTTTTTTTGTGTGTGTAAATTATAAATTAAAAAGTCAGTAAGTAAATTAAAGTCTTGGTCCCAAAGTAAAGTGAAACTACTATTTGACATTATTCTCGCCATAATCCGTACAAAACTGTTATGTGAATGTAATCAGATTGATGTGCATAATCACCGTAATAGGAATAAATGCATTTAGATTTAAAACAGGATGTGCACATGGTGAATACGATAATAGTAATATATACTTAATATTTTAGACAATGAAAATTAGGAACAGTTTCTGCTTTATTAACCACAGCCAAACAGCAATTCTTAAAGTTCTTAATTTGTCCTACTTACCCACACCTTAAGCACTTAAATTACAATTGCACATTTTCTGGTAAAAACATATTTGTCCCGTTCAGAATACTGCACATTTTTGTCAAGTGAAAGAATAAAAATAAAACCTGGAAACTGGAAACCAAACTAATACTAAAGAGAAAAAAAAGCATTTTCAAAAAATGATTCCGTGTGTGACGTACAGTAAACCACTGCATGAACTACTGGGGAATATTCACTGATGCTCTGTAAAGATCATGTGTAGGCTACTATCTGGAGTATCTGCCTCTGCATAACCAGATAACTCATCACTCTGTCTTTGCTGCTTCTACCTGCTGTGATGTTTCTCTTCAGGGCTGGATATTTTATCTGCATTCATTTGGCAGACTCGCATGATATGTACAGTACTGTGCAAACGTTTTAGTCAGGCAGTGTGGAAAAGTGCTATAAAGTAAGAATGCTTTCAAAAATAGACATGTTAATAGATTAGATTTATCAATTAACAAAATGCAAAATGAGTGAACAGAAGAAAAATGAAATCAATATTTTGTGACCACCACTACATAACACTGTTACCAGACATACTACATACTAATAATGCTTAGCAGGTGCTGTACTGTATGTACAATAGAAATGTAGAATAGAAACAAAATAAAGTATACCCAAACCAGACAGCATATGGTGGATTTTTGAGTGTGCCTTCGATAACATTACTACATTACATTGCAGGTGGTCATGAAACGGCTCCAAAAATTATTGGAAAACAAAATAATAATATTGGAAAAACATTTTGATATCTATTGGTGAAGTTTAATTGGCAGTGACATTCCAAAGTCACAGTTTGATTGACAACCAACATCACACATTGTGATTTTCTGTTACTGAATTCACAACAAGTATAGAATTTGTTTGTCTCGTCTTTGGCTTCATCCTCATTGTCCAGACTAAAATACTCTATTCTGTCCTGCTACTGGCAGCCTTTGACCACATCATCTGAATTTTCTTTGGGCACCATACAAACTCATCTTTATGGTCATAGTTCAAATAGGCAAACTTGATGAGACGCCTGCGTTCTTTCTTATCGAGGACAGCAAACACAAAGTAGTTGAGAACACTGTCCTTGACATTTGGGAGTTCCCCTTTGACGAGTGTCTCCTCCAGGAAGAATTGGACCAGGGGGGCTTGGTAGTGACTGTACCCCAGGGTTCCCTGGCACTTCAGGATGCGGGTGATGCGCAGGCTGTTATGAGTGTGACTGTCATTGACACAGTGAAAAAGGCAAAAAAGAAAGAAGGATTACTTAGAGGGTTCGGTTACTTTTAGTGAACAATATGTTTGATTAAAAAACAGACATCACCTGTTAAGGTTGTTGAATCTGTCTCTCCAGTTACGTGCTCTTTGGACTTTTCCTGTTCTCTCATCGCACAACTCTATACCATAGAAGTCCAACATGAGCTGGTAGGACTTCAACAGATTTCCCTTTGCAGTGCTGTTTTGAAGAAAACCCTGAAGCAAAGGCAGAACTTCTGTTAGAATATGTGAAGCACCTTTTTTGAAATGTTAACTTTGCAGCATTTAGCAGCTGTACCTCAACTTCTTCTTTTGTCAATGGACTGGCCTCACTGTTCATCCCTGGTTCTTTCAGTGGGAATAACCTTTGAGAGAAAATGTTATCACAATTTGTAAAAACAGGAAATGAACATTTGACATTACACCTGTAATTATAGAATAGCTTACCACTGAATATAGGTGTGTACATACTCCAGTTCTTCATACCTTCCATGCCATTCATTGTGGAAAATGTGGATGTAGACACCTGGTGGTTGAATGACATATTTATGCCACACAAAATGAATATTTTTTCTTACTTTGCCAGTCATTGCTGTTCTATAGTGAAACCCAGAACCCCTGTTTTATTCCTTTAGGACTCTAAAAATGTTTTTTTTTTCTCATGCAGTGACACTTATTTTATAAATTAAATTGCAATATTGATCTTATTTCTATCCATGGACATTCACACAGTGTGCCTGTAGGCCTACCGTCAGGTTTAGAGGCCGTCTTTCCGAGGTAGAAATTCAAATTAGGCATATCATCCTACTTGACAGAAGAGAATTGCATTTAGACATTACATTGTTTTAATATTAAGTAATAACCACGTCACATAATAAATCATCTCAACACGCTATCATTGTGTGTACTTACATTTACTGGCCCTATCCAGCGATCTGGTCTGGTCTGGGACTGTGGGGAGATTTAGAACAGTGTGTGCATGGTTTAAATGGTTGAACTTGGGACAGTGTATGTTTGTGGTGTGCAGGATGTGCACATCTGTGCATGTGTGTGTGTGTGTGTGTAACTTACAGGGTAGTTATGCCTGTAATTCTGCATGTCTTTTGCAGCATTTTCAAATCTGCTGAACTTGATCTTCTGGTACACAGAAAATAAAAGATCAGAGGCATTTAGTGATTGTAGAGGGCCTAAAAACAAACAATCGAGTCAATTTTGACAATTAAGTTACCCTGACCAAAAAAGTGTTTAAAATATTACAACTGAGATTATAATATAATACAGTCACTATAAAATTAACAAAAGGCACACCTAAAATCTAAATCTTTGCGTCATTCCAATGCAGGCCTAAAGTGAAACCAGCTTTAGGCCTGCAGCAGGCCTTGGGTTTACTCACATATCTGGACGCTGCTGGTCGCCTCCTGTTGTTGAATGTGTACCCCGAATCCTCCTCAGTCTCCCAGGTTGAATCGTAGCCACAGAACAACTCATCTGTCGACTTAACACGATACTCCTCGCTGTCAAAGTCATCATCCTCTTCGTCACGCAACCTACCTCCTGGAGGCTCGCCACCTTCAGGGTCAACTCGGCCTCTGCGACCCATTAAGAATCTGAACACTTTCACTAAAAGTGAACATCTTTCCCGTAACTTTTGACAAATCCAGCGCAATATGGAACGCGGTATGTGCCAAAACCCCTCGAAATCAGGCCAACATCGGCAATAGATAAACCAGGACATCGTAGGCTACGCACAACACAACACGATACAGCACTGACAGTCCTAGTCTGCGGTCACTGTAGCCCATATGAAGTGTTTCACTTTCACTTTCACTTTCTCTGAAGTTGTCGTTCCAGTCTTTACAGGGAACAGAAACTTAAACCAACACCCATAAGACGTCAGCTGGTCCATGTTGCTGAAATATGATCTGAGAGAAAGTTTCTATGGTTATGGTGTTATGGCTTAAGTGAAACAAACAGAAACACTCATGGGTTAAGTTTGAAAGATTGATGATGACCCCTTCTCCATTTGGGCTGGTCTGGTGGGCTAATAGTTCAGCGTGAAAACTGTTACATTATCCATTCAGTCCCCAGATAGGTAATCATCATTTCAAGATTATCAACAATATCAAAATAATAAATCAGTTTACCATTAAAATAGTTTTTTGTCAAGACATTTTTTTAAAGTAAAAAAAAAATCCTTTGCTTTGTTTTTGCCCAACTCCTTTGTTACCCTAAAATGTGGGCCACAAAGCAGAGGTAGACATTCAGAGGGAAAAACTGTAGCCAAAACATGGACAGGTTTTTATTTTTAACTCTGTGATCTTGTAGGGTAACATAGGGTAAGACGACCCCCCACGGTAATTCTAACAAAAAACAAAACAAATGTCAAAAACAATTTTCCTCAACATGCTGCCCCTAGTCTTACTGAACTAAAAATATACTGTTTCATCACAATTTTTTTTTTATTATTTGATCAAAGCCATTTTGACCTAAGTCGATTGTTAATTTTTTTGTCATTTAAAATAAGGTATAGTTTTTGTATTGTGTGCAATTTGTATATTTATATTAAGGTGAGCCTTAGAGAAAGATTTTTATAGTTTTTGGATGAAGTAGTAAAGTGCTAGATTAGTATGTTTGGGGTAAAACTTACATTTGATTAAATTAAAATAAATTTGTCAACTGTAGGTATTTATTTGACTTTATATTTTTTTACTTTATATTATGTTAAGCAGGGCAAAGATACAAAAAAACTATAAAACATTATTTTATGTGTCATCAAATAGACATTGAGTCTTTCAAAACACAAAGACTGTTGGCAGCTGAGATTTACTTTGAGAAAACAGTGACCCATATGATAAAAAAAACACCTTTTTTTTCTGTTGCTGCAGTCATCCTCACACCAGATGCCTCAACCACAATGAGGAACCCTCTCCCTGACGGTACCGCTGTAGAGGAATTAAATACCACGTCCCTGCCCTTTTGGCTAATAAGGCTCAAAGGGCTGTTCACTCAAGCTGCAAAGTTCAAACCTGTGTCACAGAGGGAAACAGGTTGATGACTTGTCACCAAAGAGACATTTGCCTGCAAGTTCATATAAAGTTTATTTTTTTATTAAATGGGTTTTTAAAATGTGCTGTTGTACTATATGCCTACCACAACGACTGTCTTTGTCTCCACTGCCATCCCCTGCTGTTATCAGTGTAAAGATAGCATCATGTTTGCAATATATTTCCCCCTCCTCATTTTCTACTGGGGAGTGCACTTGGACATATGAGTGTCCCGCCTGGAGCCAGTGAACATCCTGCTCTTAATGTCTTCCTGTGGAAGATAAGGGGATGCATGAACCGGACGGCACAGAGATATGAGATGAGTACATCAGATAATGCACCATTATTACTATGACTGGAGAGTTGTTAAACCACATGATCCCTTATTCAAAAACGTATGTCACTTGTCTTTGATTGCACAATATACTGCTGAAGTGATGTGCCCATTTGTGACTTTGGAAACTTCTTCTGTGGGGTATTTGTTTTGTACATACGAAGTGAAATTTACAAAAGGAATTGAATAATACTGATGTAAGCACTGTGTGCGTTCATTGAGCAGACTCCGGCGAGACTATTATCTCTCAGGGACTCCTTTCACAAGGAGATAATTGCTCGCACTGCCAGTGGAGAAAATCAAGACTTGTCTGCATGGTACACTGTTAACATCTGCTCTGCAATAGATTCATTTGTGCTTACTAAAGCGGTATAAGGTCCTGTACTCTGGAAGATAAAAACACAGTGTAGAGATAACCATATGTTCTCTATGGAATGGAGGCAATAAATGTGGATTTTAATGACAGATCGCAGGCTCTTTATGGCCTGGTTTAGTGCATGAATAGGCCCCACAAATTGGAATGCCCTCCTGAAATAGATGGGAACTTCATGCAGGATATGAAACTGAAATAACTTGCAGCATGGAGCTATAGCAGTTAGCCTATTTTCTGGTTGCTATGCTGTGAACCCAATTAGCATGACACTGAGGAAAGGCCCAGCAGAAGCCACTGAAAACTTCAGCGAGGCTCCATGAGCCAGGCCTCTGTGTAGTTACACTAATACACGCAAATCATCTCTCTCTCACTCACTCTGTGCTGGACTTAGTTAATGACGGAGGCTTGCTGGATCACTCGGTGACTAAGTGTGCTTGATAAAGGTCAAGGCTGCCACCAGCTAATGATTCATCGCTCAGAGTGATACTTTAGCCGAGCATATTGTGAATACTCCGCACATGAACGCTTCACGGGGCAAAATAATCAAGAGAGTAGAGGCTGGAAAGGGCAGCTGTTTCCGCTGTGCTTCTCTGTGGCAGCAACAGACACAACACACAGGCTCTCTGTGACATACTATGCCAAACCTCTCCAAACACAGGATCAGTGATTAACAGTTAGCAGAGTCAGTCTAACAAAGTTTGCAGTTTGCTGTGGCAAATCCAGCCTGCAGTGATTATCATTTTTCCCTTCTTTATTGATTTTTGTAAAACTCTCCATGAATTCAGAAATACTGACGATCCTTGTGTTGTGATGACCAAGACAGAATACCAAAAGTGTAATATCAAGGATATCCAAGATCCTTTTAGATGCACATGCAAGCACGCACGCACACACACACGCACGCACACACACACACACACACACACACGCAATATGAACTGCATTATACTTGTTGATTTAGTTATCTAGATTTACATTAAAAAATACTCTGGTTTGAATAATTTCTGATATGTTTTTTTTTCTAACAAAACCAAAAAAGTTAAATTACCTAGGCTATAGGTTAGGGTCAGTTGTACTCCTCCCACGTTTGAAAAAAACTGAATCTTTGAATATGCAAACATTGTTCATTTTAAAAGTTTGACTCAAGATGTCTCCTACTCTAATGAAAAGTCCATTCGCAGTGTCTGTGCACTGGAAGTTTCATATCATACTACACTGAACATTGATTGATTTCCAAACAACTTGTGATGTCACATCACCCTGCTCCTGCATGCATGTGTGGAGGGGGAACTTTGATGAATTGACATTTGTAGACAGAGCACAGGTGTGAGTAAGTGCACCTGTAAAAAAAATCTATTTAAAGATTGATACTTTTAAAGCACAGTCAATGAGGCCACGTGAGCACTTGTAAGTAGCCTAGTGTCCTGTGGGAAGTCAAAGTGCTGCCAGCTGCTGAGCTTCGGTGCCAAAACACAACCTATTCAGGCCTATATGCTGTAATCCTAGCAGGCCTCAACTCATCAACTCGCTGCAGATGAATGGTGTCCATGGTGGGCTCCAGTGTCCCCTGTGCGTCTGTCCCTCTGAGCAGCAGCGCCCTCCCTCCGCGCGCACTCCGTAGTTGAGGATGAAGACGAAGAACATCAGGACCCTCTCCCTCATTCTCTCCATAGTTTTCTACCTGCTCATTGGAGCCGCCGTCTTTGACGCACTGGAGTCGGACAGTGAGAGTTCAAAGAAAAGGGCGCTGGAGCAGAAGCTGAACGAGCTGAAGAAAAAGTACGGCTTCGCCGAGGATGACTACAGGGAGATTGAGAGGGTGGTCCTTCAGTCGGAGCCGCACCGCGCCGGGAGGCAGTGGAAGTTCGCCGGCTCCTTTTATTTTGCCATCACTGTCATCACCACAATTGGCAAGTATAGCCTATGCTTTAAAGATTTCCCCGTACCTGCGTCTTATACCTGAAAGACACAGGGCGAGCAGCATGTCTGAATTACTGCATGTGAGTGTGTCTTTAGGCGCTCTTAACAGTTCAAAGTGGGAGTAGGACCTGAAGCTGCAGGAACCACTTTGGGACATTTTATAGGGATGGGGTGCCGTGTGAGGTAGGGGAGACCGGGTATGGTTGTAACATGGGGGAGTTTTAACAACACCAATTCCACTAAGATAAGATAGGAGTCATGTGATCATTTCACTATTTCCCTGCTTCCTCCCCGATCAGGCATGGTGGTTATCAAGTCTGGAAACAGGTACATTCAGAATATATAGAGAAAAAAAAATTTTTTTTGACCAGATTATATTAGATTGAAATGTAGTTTCTTAGGCAACATGTGATGCATTTGTTCCTTTCTAATTTCAAACCACTATGCTAATACAGCTAGCTAAACATTGGCTGACTGGGGTGGGTTGGGTTGTAACACATACAACTAGGGACTTTCTTGATTTTAATATTTTATAGAGTGCCCTTTGCAGTCTGGGCCCACCAAGCCTGCACTGCAGGGTTACCAGCATTCATTTGTCAGCACTGTGACCAGTGCTTCCCATTCACAAGTTGTTCACATGTTGGCGTGTGTATCGGCACACAATCTTTTCTGTACTCCGAGAGGGCAGAGAAGTGTACAGGCAGCTTGTGAGAAATTCTGGTGTGCAAGAAAAAGTAGTACGCCAAAAAGGAAAATATAGAAGTGCTTGTACTGGTGAGTACCGGACCATTTCAAACACTGACTTTGACTCTGATTAGGAATATACATCATTAACACACAGACACACACCTCTTTTTTTGTTAGACCTGAGGATGTACAGAGATGTTCTTTAATTTAGTACATTTTAGTAATATTTTTAAGTATACTGTTAAGTAAGTTTATTCTGTAGATACATTTTCATACACATACTGTACATGCATGCGAGTCATCAGACATAGTCTGTTACAGTGGGGGAGAAATATTGTTCTTTTTCTCCCCTACTGCAATACACATCGTTCGTGATTTTGCAAATGGGAACTGAAGTTTGCCATTGTCATTTAAGAGCTCCCACTGATTAGCACCTTGTAAACGATAATCGACAACGTAATGACTGGCAATGTGAAAAATAAAATTACTTAAAGGGACAGTCCACCAAAAATCTATCCATTGATGTAAAGCATTAGGCTATAGGTGGTAGTCTACAAGGATCCACAGTGGTTGTTATGAATTCTCATGTGACCAGATTTCACATTGGGTAGAAATGATTAAAACATTAAGAACCCTGTTTTAAATGATTAAACCTTTTTATTGCTTTTTCAGTATTTGCACATACATTACAAATTTTCAAACAATACACAGAATATTTAAAAAGACCATGCACATTGCTACTGACAGTTTGTAACACAGGCTGCTAAAATATTACAGCTCGTGTTATGTCCACTGAGCACAAACGATTACATGATGCACAGACAACAGGGATGGGACACATGAATACCATCTGTCATTGTGATCCTCTCTACCTATCACTTCCAAACAGGGACCCCAGATATTCCTGAATATATTTCACTCTTAAACTTTGTAGATAAGCTGCTCAAAAAGAAAACATCCGAGCCAGCTCCTCTCTCCATTCTTTGAAGCTGACTTTTTTTTTTTTTTACTTCTAGTGCCTCAGCACTAACCTAGTTCCCGTTATGAGGGCTAGTTTCCCACAAGAACACACTTGGCTCTGACACAGGTGAGCCTCCAGTGGTAGGATATGCTTCATACTGGACCCTCAATGAACTTATTATTATTACTACATTTGAGATGGGAGGCCCATTTCATGTAGGCCTTTTTAGCCATATTTAGATGAAAATATGGCTGGAACACATTGAGCATAGTCCTATTTTATGGAAAATGCACTTTACATTTTGGAAAATGCATCTCCCTGCCGTCAGTAAATTTAGTGCTAGTTCTGCAGGTACAATTTTAGTCTCATAATAGTGTTGGAGGAGTGCAGGCATTTTGAGAACATTCTTTAGACTTTTCTATACTTTTTTTCACTATGAAAACTGGATGGATAAAACTACAACCATTTTACAGCTACCTTTGAGCTCTTAAGAAGGTGACTGTTTGCTACTCACTTATTATGTTCTTATCTAGGTTTGTGTAATGTATGTAAATGTAATGAAGTTGATATGGGGAACTTGTTAGCAAACAGTTGCTTACACATCCAGCCGTTATGGTTTAACATTAGCATTCATTTGTTGTTGTGTTTCTGTCTACCAAGTACGTGCAGAGTCCTCTAATGCCAGGAATCCACTGACTGCACCACAGTTTTGATGCGTCCATAGCCCAACATCAAAGTCCACTGGAAGCGTCTCAGAAGCGTGTCAGCAGCAGAGTGTGCAGCCTGCCTCACATTATTTACTTGTTATTACTTGCTTCTACTACCTTCTTCACAGCTCTCTGTGACCCCGTTTCGTTCCGTCAACTTCAGGCTGCATTTCCCACAAGGAGCATTTCAGAGTCAGAGCATTTTGCCTGCCTGATTTTGCTGACATGTTTAGATTAGTTGATTTGGTAATAAGTTTGCTTTTTGTGCTTCTACTATGATTAAGTAGGCTACGTAGTTAAATGATTTCTTTTTGTGTCTGTTTTAACCGTGTTTATTGTTGTCGGGAGTCTCCACAGGGGTTTTTATTTTGAAAGTTGACCGGATTCTCTATGCCGTTCTGTGTTTGACTTCCTGCCTGTGCTGCTTGATGTGGCTTGCATCAAAAATAGACCTGCTACCTATTCACTGTGGAGCATCTGGTGGACTCATAAACATTGACTATAATGCCAGCGATTAGCACCGGCAACCGCGGCACTGCTGTAATGCGCCATAGCCGGAGTCAGTGGATTTTAGCCATCATGGTCTCCCTTTGAAACTCAACAATCACCAGCTGGGCTTGTGGTTTGAGGGGTCTGGAAGTACTAATAGAACTTGAGTTACATCCAGTTAACAGCTACTTCTATTTTGTACGCGCACCGCTCTCAGCTGGGCCCGACCCAACCTGATTTGAGCCCTGCCAGACCTAAAATTGCGACAGCAATCCCACGGCCGAGCCCCTAATGCCTGATGTTCTCAGCCAGGCTGCAACGACGCCAGCAGTGCTGGTGGCCATGAAGGGACATCTCAGTCTGCGCCAGATAAAGGTCCCCCCAGATGGTACAACAAGCACTGCCGTAGAGGACGCGATGCCCCTCGTGGTATGTGCCCTCAGGTCTGCTGGAGGAGCGTCATCCATTGCCTCACACTCCTGCGGATTACATCAAAGATCCAGTGAGCGAATTGCTGAACAGACAAAGGGGCTCATCAGATACAGAGTGTGCGGGCTCTCTTCCTCCCTGTTGGCACCATTACCTGCTCAGGTCTGAGTACAAACAGTGAAGGACAAATAATCACCAGCTGGATGTCTCGTCTGAAAGACCACACTGTTGTAGTGATGTTTTGGTAGCCATATTCCTTAGGAGCTGCAAGGCTGGTGGGGATAGTCCAGTGAGCCACAAAACACTCATTAGCTGTCAATGCAGATCTCAGGGGTTTCCCTCCCCATGAAGAAGTGATCACTATAGCAGGCTTAGGACGAGTCCAACTGGAGACCAGCCCCCCTGCCATAATTTTATCGTTGCCATTTTGAGTCTGGGCTGGGATTGCTGGTACCAGGCTAGCGTGGAGGGAGCTAACAGACTCAGAGAACTACAGCCGCCATTCATGCTCCTCTCTGGGCAACCCAGGCAGATAAAGCAGGACAGGTGGGGGCAGCAGGCGAGGCATAAGAGGCATAGAACTTGGAAAAAGACATGGAAAAAGACATTTTAAATTGACTGAAAAACTTTTTGCCCCTGATTGGGTGGTAAGTGCAACATTTTCACAAGGAATGAGACGGGGGGCCTCGTGAGGCTAAACCAAAAGCGAAGCCTGTTAGAGGGCGGAGCACATACAAAATAGAACTGCCTCTTTAACTGCTAACTGCTACACTATGTTCACCAACTAGTCATTAACTGTGCCTGCTTATGTTTGGTGCTGAGCAGTTAGTGTACAGTGGGTTTTTAGAGATTGGAGAAAACAGGCGCCTGCTTTGGCAGAAAATGACGCTATGAGAAAATATGCCTTTAATAGGCCCATTTAAACGATTTCATTTGGCACAGACATCAGAATGAAAATAAAACATGGAAACATGTATCAGTTTGTCAAACCTTTCAAATACCTGAATAAATGTGCAGTTCATTCATTCTTATTCCATGAGAGCCCGAGAAATATGACAGAATCAGGACCACATGACAACTTAGCTAATGAGCCATATGCTTTCCTTTGTTGTCTCTTTCTGCTTCATCCTTCAGATGTTCATGTATCCTGGCCAGTTTTTAAAGGCCCTACACACCCATGATCCAGCCACTCAGGTGTTTTCCCTTATTTTGCCTGATAAGCAGTTGTGGGTATGTGAACACAAATAGGACGTGATGAATAAATCAGTGTTGACCACAAAGATCATTTGCCATGCTTTTGCCACAATGAGCTGTTTTACAATATATAGATGCATGTAATTAAATAAAAATAGAAATATTGATACATGGAGGTTTAACCACAGAAATAGCTTCATATGGACATTACATTTATTCACTTAGCTGACGGTTTTATCTAAAGTGACTTACAATTGATAGATATGTCACAGGTCGCACGCCTCTGGAGCAACTAATGGTGTAGTGTCTTGCTCAGGGACACATTGGTGTCTCACAGTGGGGAATTGAACCCGGGTCTATCACACCAAAGCCATGTGTCTATACACTGCACCCTTACCACCTCATAGGCTAGTAAATCTAGGCTATTAAATCAGCTGGATAAAATGTGTTATGGTTTAAGCAGTGTTTGAGAAACAGACTTGAGACCTGACTTGGTTCTGCAGTGTTTGGTCTAAGCATTTTAGCCTTTCAGTGTGTTATCAGTAGTAATCTTAATAAGTGAATCCTTATAGACATTAAACAGTGCTTGACATTGTGTGACCGGCAATATACTGTGACTTTGTAGGTTATGGCCATGCCGCTCCACGCACTGATGCTGGGAAGACCTTCTGCATGTTTTACGCTGTCTTGGGCATTCCTCTGACGCTGGTCATGTTCCAGAGCCTGGGGGAGAGGATCAACACTTTTGTCCGCTACCTTCTGTGCAGAGCCAAGCAGGGCCTGGGCTTACGGAAGACCCAGGTGTCCATGGGGAACATGGTCCTAGTGGGTTTGCTCTCATGCATGAGCACCCTGTGCATCGGAGCTGCAGCCTTCTCGCACTTTGAGGACTGGACTTTCTTCAATGCCTATTACTACTGCTTTATCACACTCACCACCATTGGATTCGGAGATTTTGTGGCCCTGCAGAAGAAAGATGCTCTCCAGAAACGACCCCCCTATGTGGCATTTAGCTTCATGTACATTTTGGTTGGGCTGACAGTCATTGGGGCTTTTCTTAACCTGGTGGTCCTGAGGTTTCTCACTGTAAGCACTGAGGAGCCTGACATGAGGCCGGAGGCAGGGGGAGAGGAGCATGGAAGGCAGCCTAAGGACAAGCAGGGGGACATAGAGTTGTCGGAAGTAGAAACTGCTGATGCTGGATATAAAGTCAGCAAAGAAAGACACGGCAGCCTGTACAACCTAAGTCTTCCCATGGAGGGGGGCACCAGCTGTCTGAATCTCCTCTCCTCTCCCCTAGAGGAGCGCAGACTTGTTTTATCTGAGCACTCGAAGCCCAGCAGATTCAGGGTCTTGTTCTCCTGCATGTGCTGTGGCCTGGACATTTACAACAGCCCCTCTCCTCCTCACTGTGACCAGGCAGGCGGCCATAGTAACCCCGTCTTTTACAACTCCATCTCCTACAGGGTGGACCAAGCCTTGTGCAGCTCGTGCACTATGTCGTCACAGGCCTCCCCAAGCAGCGTAGCCCTCTGTTTGGGAAAGAACAAACTTCACACCAGGAGGAAGTCATTCTAACTCTCTGCACTTTTGACTTGTCTCAGTGGCCTTTGTTTTGGACTTTTTGTACACACCACAGAACAGGTAAAATGCAGCATTACTGGCTGTCAATTAAAATGCAACATGTTATAAGAATCCTTTAAAGTTTATAATGTATTTTTCTACAATCAATATTACTGCAAAAAAGGTACAAAAAATAAGAAACTAATGTTTTCCACTATTATTATCCCAATATACTGTATGTTATATAAAAGGTATCTACAGGAAGTGTGTGATCAACTAGCAGAAAACGCAACATGTGCCTCATTATCTGTGTTCATATTTTAGGTCTCAGACTTTCTGCAGTGTTGTCTCCTGTGACCTTCATTTATTTCCAGTCACTAATTATCAGTGTCTTCTATAAGCTACATACCCTCTGTCGCTTTGGCTGGTTCCCTAGGTAACGTTTCCATCCTCAGTGCAGTGGAAAAGTGGAGACGGACACGTACAGGGAGCACTGAGTGGTGACTGTCTGAAGACAGCATCCGGTCAAACTGGGAATCCCAGGCTGCGTCGTATGTGATGAATGAGTGTGTCAACAACAATGAATGAAATATGAGCTGTTGCACTAAAAAAATGGAAAATCTCCAAATGACTATTTAATTGCCTTCTTAATGTGTAGTTAGCTCCCAAATTTCTATTGTTCCACCAACCACGAGACAAAAGAAAAACATGCCTTTTTTTCACACTTTTTAAATGTTCTGTTTGTTTAACGTAGAAAATAAAGAATTTAATGTTAAGGGCCACTCTACCTATTTTACACAGAAAATGTTACTTTACATGTCACGAGGAGTACTACTCAGCATTTGAAAGCAGTTTTATAATGCAACAATAAATTGCATTACACAACTGGTAGTTTAGTGTTTAATCTGGCCCAGTACAGGTGCATCTTTGAAAATTTGAATATCATGGAAAAGTTCATCTTTTTCTGTAATTTAAGCCAATATATCATAGATCATATATTCTACATTCATTCCATATAAAGTGAAATATATCAGGCCTTTTTTAGTTTTAATCTTGATGTTTACAGATAATAGAAATCAAAAATCCATATCTCAAAATATTAGAATATTAGAAAAAAAGAATTTGTTATACAGAAATTGACCTTCTGAAAAGTTGAAAAGTTGTGAAAAGGTTGAATTTATTCACTCAGTACTTGCACAAATTACTACATCAATGTGGTGTGGCATGGAGACAATCAGCCTGTGGCTACTGAGGTGTTATGGAAGCTTATGTTGCTTTGATAGCGGCCTTTAGTTCGTCTGTATTGTTGGTCAGGTGTCTCTCACTTTTCTCTTGACAGTACACAATAGTTTCTCTATGGGGTTCAGGTCAGGCAAGTTAGCTTACCATTCATGCACAGTAACACCATGGTCAGCAAACCAGTACCTAGTGGTTCTGGTCCTGTGGGCAGGTGCCAAGTCCTGCTGGAAAAATAAAATCCGCATCTCCATAAAGCTTGTCAGCAGATAGAAGCATGAAGTGCTCTAAAATCACCTGGTACACGTTGCATTGACTCTGGACTTGAGAAAACACAGTGGATCAACACCAGCAGATGACATGGCATCCCAAATCATCACTGACTGTGGAAACTTCACACTGGACTTCAAGCAACTTGGATTCTGTGCCTGTCCACTATCCCCCCAGAAGCAAAATTAACTTTCATCTGGATTGAGGACCACTGAGCAACGGTCCAGTTATTTTTGGTGGTCATAGTTTAATCTCACATCTGTAAAACACATATCTTAACAGTCTTCTTCCTTGCAGTCTCACATTTATCTTTTTTTCTTCTAATTCTACTTTTACTCAGCAGGGTGACACAGTGTTGAGAGCAGCATATTTCAAATTCTTGACCTCAATTACAACAACCCTGCTGGGTTTTGTTGTAGCAATCAAAAATCATCAACCAATTTACACTTCACATTTGATGTGAAAAAAACAAACAGAAGCTCCAGGAGTGCGGCTCTGTAGCTAATTTCAAATCAGAAAAAAAGTTGACTGCCAGCTTCCAAAGACGGCTTCATTTGAATTAACAATTTTTAAAAATATCTTCCAATTAATGTTTCAGTAGTCTGTATCTGACCTGTACTCTGACCTCCTGGAGCTGTGAAGGGTCAACTTGAGGATCACTCAAGCTTTGCATTACATTATAGTATTAACAGGAGCCTCTAGTGGTAACCACAAGCAGTGACTTGCATTTAATTTGCCCCAGTTCTCATTCCTCACAGTAGGGGGCAACATTGGTCTACGAAAAAAGTCAGGATGACTTCTGTGAGGTCTGCAACACAGGCAGTTTTGTTTGCTGAAATCTTTGCATGTTAAACTTTTATTTTTCACTTTACAGAGCCTCAGGAATGACACTAATGTAGATACAGCTTATATAGTCACATTCTCTGTGTGTGTTAAACCACTCACAGCACAGGAGACAACACTTTGCCTTCAGAGAGCTTTACTACGGCGTGCCGTCAGCGTTTTATATGGAATTAAAGCATGACAGTAGGAATTTGTTTTCATCTGACAGCATGAGCTATGACACAGATTGCTTCTGCGGGAATACATGTTCGGGTACTTGATAAGTGAGCAGAAGCTTCTCAGTCAAGCGTACAGACATGTATCAGCTTCCAGCATTATCAACATTATCAGCAGGCTATTTGTGAAAGAGCAGAAAGGAAAGGTCTGAACAATGAGCTTCACTCCTGTATTTTGTGGGCGATGAAAGATGGTGTCTAATTTGCATAATTACCCCATTAAAATTGCAGATGGTGCTTCACTACATATTTATTCAAGTTATGATGCCTCAGATGTCTTCTCATGTCTGTGACTGTCACACACCAACATTATGAGCCTAAAAGTATAGAAAACGATCAATACACACCACTGATAATACTGCAACTGATAGTATAACATGAATTGGAAACGCAGAATGAAAAGCTTTAACTCTGACACAAAGACCTGTGTAGGATGATTTTCTGCTATTATATTGTCTCCTGCATGACATGTGGTGAAGAGCAGCACCAACGCTGAACTTTTTTCAAGCTTCTTGTGTGAGTATGAATCCATTTAGCAGTTCCCTATGAGGGTGAATATTATATTTTATGTTCCTATGATGGATGTTATTACAGAGTGTGACCTGCAGGTGGGGGTAAGTCGCTATTTGAAAAATTCAGAATGCAGAACACCTCATGCCAGTTTTCATGCACACACCCAAGCATGTTCGCTCATATTCAGATCTGTTCACTTTTATGAAAATGCCGTTAAATGGGTAGTCCAGTCATTTTGGTATATAAAAAAAGAAGAAAAATCTTCAGGCAGGTTCCTGAATAACCTCTGCTTAGGCTACTGAACATTATGCTCACGTCTGTTTGACAAAAAATGACCAAATCTATAAACATGTAATTCAAAATGTTAATACCCACACAACAATGCTTTAGTTCATTAAAATACAATAACCTCGCTGTTCATTGAAAACAGTGTTGAATTCCATAATCAAAACAATGCACACATACTTATCCTCTGCCATTCAGGGCTGGGAGAGTGGGTGAATAATGGATAATGTTGCTAGATATTTCCCTTTGTGAACAAACCCTGTTAAGTCATTACTGTCCCATGCTGAAGGGTCTTTCATGTGCAGTGGTATTGGTAGGGAATTCCAGATTAAATTGGAAACTGGCCATCGGTTCAAGCAGAGTGCAACTCTTCTCTTTCTAAAGGGTAACTAGCTTTATTATGGCAGAAATATGGGCAGGAGGTTCATAATAGAAGCTGCATACAAATAAAGTATTTATGAATGTATAAATAAACTAAACCAGTGTGGTTGCCATGTTTTGATTATGTTTTCCTGTGTACACTGCATTCACAGCCTTTTCAGGAGGAGCTCGGAGATTATGAGTAATTTTCTTGGAAGTGCATCAGAATGCAGAAGCGCATTCTCTGCGGCTCACAGTGAACACAAAGATTAAGGAACTAAAGACAAGTGTCTTATTTATTCAGATTGATTAAATAAGTAGAAATTAGGATTCAGTTGGAGAGCACTGAGAAAACAGACATTAACAGAAGTTCATTGGTGGGGTAATTGCTCATTAGTTCTCATTTCCAGCCAATTTGCTGCTTGTGTTGAACAGTGTGAAAAGGCTGTTTTCACTCTGTGGTTGTCTTCTCTAATCAGACTGTGTTTGACATAATGTGTCTCTTTGACATTTTGTGTCAAAAAGATCACCCTGCTTGATTAATTGCAGTATAAATGAAGTCTTAAAAGAAAGTTTGAATCACCCCTTCATCAACGGGCCTACAGCAGTGTCTCTCAATGTATGTCCTACTGCAAAGAAGCCAAGGTGTTTTTCACAGATATATTTGCCAAACGATTGTGAGTCGAATGAATAAAGCATGGCTTTACAGTGTCACCTGGTTGGTCGGTCCACCACTTTGGACCATACTGAATACATACTGAAATATCTCAGCATTGTGATGGTATTTTGTACAGACAGTCATGGTCTCCAGAGGATAAAACCTACTGACTTTGATTCATGACTCTGCTTCTAGAGCCAGAGAGAAATATCTATATATAACAAGTGGATGGATTGTTGTGACATTTGCTACAGATATTCAAGAATGACACGTAATAACTAAAATTTAAACTTAAATTTACCTCATTTGTCCATTAGCTTCAAAACTTCACCTTCAAAACTAACAACATTGTTAACCTCAGCTAGAATTTGTGTCTAGTGCTAATCAGTAAATGTTAGCATGCAAACTATGGATGGGGCTATGGACATATAGTCTAGTCTTACATATTGAGGAATTCAGTAAATAATAAAGCAGCACAAAAAAATGGTAGCCTATGAGGCAAATCATTCCCAATGATTCAGTCTGTTGTCTGAGGCAGAGGATGTAAAATGATCAAGGTTGGCTCTTATCCATTTCCTCCCCAGTTGTACCATTTAACGAGACAACAGCTTCTCTGAGCACACCGCTTCCTGTCTAAACAGTGGCTCAGAGATGGCGCGAGAGATGGGAGAAAGAGAGAGGGGAGGAGGTGGGGATGTGAAGTTCTTATTCTCCTTAGACAATATATCTGTGGCCATGAAGCAAGGCCGTGGCCAGTGGCAGATTAATGTCTGTGTGAAAGTGTCTTCATTGGGTGTGAGTGCTGCTCTGTTAGAGGACAGGTTTTTAAGAGGGAAGGTGTAAGAAGTGAGTTGGGACCAAGTCAGAAGCTTATCGTGGAAGTTAAGGTACACAAGAGCCTCGGCAATGTAAAACGACATAGATGCAGAGATTGAAGAGATCATCAATGGGAGATGAGGACATTTGTCTTTTCTGCAAAATCTCTGGCTAGTATTCTCTCAGTTTCGTACAGGTCACACTTATCTCCTGTCCAGCAGCGCCATATTTTTCTCATTATGTGCAGCTCTACATAGAACTTTCACAAATGTGTTTCCTCCTGTAAGTAAGACTGATATGGAAGTTGCTGTCGGGGCAGAATTTGAATGAGTGAGATAAGGCCTCACAATGGCCCTCAGTCGGGTTGGATAACAAATGCATCCTTTTTTTTTTTTTTTTAGGCGTACTGTGCGGGGAAGAGAGGAAAA